CACCACTCTTGTAATTTAATCAGCCACATAAACATAGGATTTGTTAAATAATAAGTTATTATATTCTAAACCTCAAGCTTCTTTACTGGGGTGAAAATGTGATTTATCATTAATAATTTTGTTTACAGTAATAATTTAGAGTCCCCACCCCTTCAGAAGGATTCAAACATGAATGACACTACCTGTAATCTCCTAGTTTTTACATGTCTCCCACCAAAATTGACTCTTCCCTGCACCCTCTCTGTACCCCCCTCCCCTGGAACTTTAAATATTCTACGCCTTACCAGGAGACTGTTGATGTTCAAATCCGAGCTGGGATCCTTCAGACGTTCTTCTATCTTCCCCAGTCGAATTCTGTACTCCGGGTCAAAGTTGGACATTTTAGCGTCCGTCTCAGACTAATTACTCAAATGAGACAGTTACATAATAAAAATACAAGTTCCAAAGACTGTCCCCTCCTCCATTCAGCATGCTGATCCGGAGGGTCAACAACCACACACTTCCGCATGCATTCCTTAATGTTTACAAAAATCAAATCATTTGCAAAATGTTCTTTAACAGAAATGAATGAGTTAAGAAATACGTAGGTATCAAAATGCTCCCTCTTTCGGCTAAATTTACTTTCGACAAACACCTGTCAAACTAGTTTTAGTGTGTAACCGCCATTAAAATTGCAACAATATGGCCTCCCCGACTCGATTACTTATTTCCGGTTTATTTAAATGTATGATGCTGGCGACTGCGTTCGTTCTAGTGCTAGATTCTCCATTAACTGCATAAATTTAAGCCAATTGTTTTTAAATCTTTAAAGCACTACACGTAAATATGAAATTGCATTAAAAGAGCGCGAACCAGAGGGGCGGTCTTTAGGAATATTTAAATGATTTGCATTCTTAGCGGATCTAGAGTGGCGAGCGTTTATAAACAAGCGATAGGCCTACTTTGTCGTGTTTCATTTATCTTGTGCGACTGCGTCATTTATTTTTATTAACCGAATTCAACAAACACTTCGATTACTCCCCCCACCCCTAACCCCACCCCACCCCCACACACACAAACAAATTAAAAATTTTGGAGTTTGGACAATGGCCCCCTCCTTTTTTTGCGTGTCAAAAGATTTCTCAGGTCAACTGTAAATCATTTTTCTTACCATTTTGAACACGTTTCTTTTATATATATATATATACATCGAATCTCTCCAAATTATTTGGCTATGTGAGCTTATCACTGGTAAATTTAGAGGCCCCCCCCCCTTGTGTCCAAAATATACATAAGATATAATAAATCTTTTTTTTCTTTTTTTTTTTGGTGTGGCCGTGGGCCACTACCCCGACCCCAAACTGGTCGCCCCTCCCTTTCAAGATTCCTGGATCCGCCACTGCTTATGTTTGTTTGATTTGAACTGTGATTTCCCCTCCCAACATACCACTACCCCCACAAAAGATATAAGAAATTTAATTTTTTAATCTTCCTTTTTGGAAATGATTAAAATTTAAGTTTCCCGTGTTGAATATACTAGCGCCTGGGTTTGTTTTTTGCTTGGTATATATACAAGTGCTCTAAATTAATGCAACTCACTATATAATTAACCCCCTCCCGAAGAGCCGAGGGGGGATTATTGGATGTACATACATGTACAAGGGTATAAATCGCCCACACATTAATTCCTCTCTTATTCTAAAACAAAATCAAGAATATTTTAACTTTTATGTAATATGAACAAAGCCAGATTATAGAGATTTGAATTGATAGGGAAATGTTTAACAGCTGGGCATTCATTTGACGTACTCCGCCTGAATTGTGGTGTATTTATAACAAAATAAAAACCATGTACAGGAACCTCTCAGTACAAAATACTTTTTGTGTTCTGTAAATGAACGAAAAAGTATATATGTGTTCAAATCATGAATCTAAGGAACGAAACATTTTACACATTCTTTATAAATGCAGTGTACTCCTTAGTACGATGGAGTCACTGGGTTTTATATTTTAGGGAAAGATATATTTTTCATACCGGGAAATATTTCTCATATCACTAAACATACACTCAGCAATTTCCTTATATGGTATACACTTTGAAGCAATCAAATTATATCGTCGTTCTTTTCCAAAAGGACCCAAAATAGTTTTTTAGGCTATGATCCCCCTCCCCCGAACCAGCCTATAAACTACAAAAGCAGCAGAAATACACGTGTATACATGACTGTCATATACGAGAATAACTACATACAGTCCCGCGACTTTCCGCAAAATTTCTTAATTAAGCTGATCTACTCATCATTCTTGCTATGGAAGGCAATGTAAATATAATAACAAAATGGCTAGTCCACAATTCTGTCCGAGAATTGATTTGAATAATTATTAAATAGGGATTTTTTTTGTATTGACAACCTGCATCCCATTCCCATATTTTGTTGCAGCATGGTCGAACCCTCCTACTTTCATGTATCCAATTTAAGGAAAAAATATCGGAAGAGTCCCTAGCCCCTCCCCCTTTTCTTAAATGATTTTCGAGTCTGGACTTTTACCTTTTTAGCTCACCTGAACTGTAAAACTTTGCGTGAACTTTTCTGATCACATTTTATATGTCGTCCGGCTGTAAACTTTTCTTCTCCAGAATTACCGGGTCAATTTCAACCAAACTTGCCAAAAAGAAAAAAAAAATATCCATGAGTGAAGAGGATTCAAATCTTTTCCAATGAAGGACCACTCCTTTTTTCAAGGGGAAATAATTAAGAAATAGTAAAAATTTGGTGGTATTTTTTAATTTTTTTTTTAATCTTCTTTTCAAGAACCACTGGGCCAAAAAGTTGAAACTTATGTGAAAACTTCTTTACATAGTGTAGATTCAAGGTTGTTCAAATCATGACCCCAGAGGTTGGATGGGTCACAATGGGGGATCAAAGTTTTACATAGGAATATGTAGGAAAAAATCTTTTATAAAAATCGTCTTCTCAATAACAGCAAAGCCATGATTAGTCATATTGTTATGAAAGCATCCTCAGGTAGTATAGAATCAATTTTGTTCAAATCATGACCCCTGGAGGTGGCTGGGGCCACAATGGGTGATCAAAGATTTACATAATAATAAAAATTATAGAAAAAAATATGCTGATTGACTCAGGTGAGCATTTTGTCCCTTGGGTCTCTTGCTTTTTAAATCTTATTTTATTTGTTTATTTTTTTTAAGTATTGGTAGTTGTTTTTATCTCATCTGAGCTGAAAGCTCAAGGCGCCTTTGTGATCACATTTTGTCCTTCGTCCGTCTGTCCGTCCGTATGTAAACTTTTTTTACACCTTTAATTTAGCTTCTTCCCAAGAACCACTGCATGGACCAATTTCAACCAAACTTGCCACAAAGCATCCTTGGGTAAAGGGGATTCAAGTTTGTTCAAAAGAAGGGCAATGCTTACTTTCAAGGGGAGATAATTAAGAATTAAGGAAGCTCTAAACACTGCACACAAAAGAGTTCTACACTAGTTTTATGCAGTTAAAATGATCTGCCCTTGGAAGTAAGATAGAAAAATTGGCTATTTACAGTTAATTACACAATTTGTAATAGATTAAAATATTCGTAGCATTGTATAAGACCAAGAATAAGTAATTGAATTCATTATTTCCATTAATTTCCCAATGTAAGTAAACAACAGTGATTTCTGCTCACGAATAGTCCATTGTCTCTGAACATTTTTCCCGCAGAAATAAGGCAGGTACCCTATGTTGAAAAAGAACTAAATAATCTCTCAATATGCACACCTTTATTTTCTCCTAGTCCAAAAAGCACTTTTTGTTGGTGTGTAGAGCTTCCTTAAGGAAAATTTAATAACATCTTCTTCTAAAGAACAACTGGGCTAGAAAAGATGAAACTTATGTGAAAGCTTCATTACATAGTTGAGATTTAAATTTGTTCAAATCATGACCCCCAGGATATGGGGGGGGGGAGGTGGGGGTAGGGGCACAGTGGACTATCACAGTTTTATATGGGCATATAGGGAAAAATCTTTTTTAAAAATTGTACTTCTTAAGAACAGAAAAACTATTATTAGTCACATTTATATGGAAGCATTCTAAGAAAGTGTAGATTCAAATTTGTTCAAATCATATGACACCCGGGTGTAGGGTGGGGCCTAATGGTTGATCAAAGTTTTACCACTAATGTATGAAAGAAAAAATTATCTAAATATTTTCCCAAGAACAGCAAAGTCATGATAAGTCATATTTATATGAAAGCATCCTCAGATAATGTAGATTGAAGATTGAAGTATGTTCATAACATGGCCCCTGGGACAGAGCCACTGTGGGGTCACAATGGGCGTTCAAAGTATTACATTGGATAATATTTTTAAAAAACTTCTTTTCAAAAGCAGCACAATTTAAATCCATGATTAGTCACAAATATATGTAAGCATCATCAGGTAGTGTAGACCCCCAGGCGTTAGGTGGGGCAACAATGGGCGATCAAAAATTAACGTAGGAATATCGTACAGGAAAAATCGTCTTCTCAAGAACAGCAAAGCCATGATTAGACATATTTATTAATATAGATGCATTCAAAGACAGTGTAGATAATTATTCAAGTTTATTCAAACCACATCCCCCCCTCGGATGTAAGATGTAGGATCGACCACAATAGGCAATCAAAATTGGGAATATGTTAGGGGAGGGGGAGGGGGGATCTCAGGCGAGCGGCGTGGCCCATGAGCCTTTTTTATTTATTTGTTTTGTTTTTATCATTATTATTTTTTATTTTCCTGTTTTGATTTGTGTGTGTGTGTGTGTGGGTGTGTGAGGGTGTGTGTACACGTGTGTATGTTTTGTTTTTATTTTGTTTTTTTTAATGAAAGATGGAACACCTGTAATCGAAATAATATTGATTAGATCTAATGCAAAAATAAATAATTTAAATAAATAAATAACACACAAAAGAGGAAAAGGGTGCATTTAAGTATCTGTACATTGTCGGGCGCTTGTGAGCAATTTTGCAAGCCGACCATACAGGACGCGCGCATTAGATCCGCCGGTGTTGATGAAGTAAGGAAGTGAGTAATTCGGCAGACGGCAAACATGTCGGCTGCGCCGAATCAACAAAGAGCTTTTGCTCAAAAGCTGAATAAGTAAGTGTACATTTAGAGAAACATGATTTCCATGAAATAGTGTTACATGTTTTCTTGTAGATCAAAGTGGACAGATAGTTTGGCAAATAACTAGAATTTCCTCTGCTTATCGGGTTACTTTGGTTTCATATTTCATCCAAGAATTTTTACCTTCAACAGTAAATAATCAGATAGCTCGGAAACATAATGATATAACCGGATCATTGGAATTTAATTTTAAAAATATAGAATAAATTAGTACCTATGTAGATTTTTTATACTGTTTTTAAGACTGCATGTGTTTACCATGTTTACAAACAAAACACAGCATCATCTATCAAGGCTATCTTTATTTTTGTAGACAAGGAGCTGCCGAGGTCAGGAAGGCGGTTTCTTCTACAATCTACTCGACTTCGGATCTCACGAGATGTGCCAGTGGTCTCAATCTCACTGTAAGTCTACCCCTTTGTAAAATAATGGAACACAAAAATTTTAACCACTCCCTAAATCCATTAGGTTGATTTCCTATTTTTTATTATGCAATAGGTAACGTTAAATCTTTTGTATGTAGATACCTTAATATATTGACTGTTTCATGATAACTGCGGTACTGCTCTTTTGCAAGGCAAAATGATATATTTTGGTGAAATATGATGTAAAAGCAATTGTTTAAAATACGTCATTTAATTATCTGTCAACAAAAACTCCACCAAACGTTATTAATTTGCCCTGCAAAAGAGTAGAACCGCAGTTATCGTGAAAGGGCTAATTGTCTTTGTGTTGTTTCTGGTTCTAATACATGTACTACAATGTAACATATTAGTAATTATCCTCAGACTCATAGGTCCATGAGTAATGTTACCCTAATTCGATCGCGTGTGTTTTGTAAATAAATTTAAAATACAGTTAGTTATGAATATTTTTTTCTTTCAGTAAAGTATAGAATTGATTTTTTAGAAAAATAATGCCTTTATTGACCGTTTACATCTCGTTCAAAGTACTGATGTTTACCTGGCGCTGTTTTTAAAAATATGTCCTAGGGTTATGACCTCAGTGAAAATGTCATTTTAAAGGTCAAGAATTTCAAATCGGATATGTGACTTCTGTTTACATAATGTAAAAAAAGCAAACAGTAGCACCAATACACTTGAGATAGGTCCTAAGAAAAAAATTGTATGGAACTTTCTTGTCAAACATATGCAGTAATAGGGTATTTGTGCTAAGTGAGGTGAAATTTTGTTTATGATTATATTTTTTACCTGTTTTGACCTTATCATTGTCTGCAGTTGTAAAATATGACAAATGCAATTTAAAATAAAATTAAATTTTTCTAACAATGTTTGGTGCAGCATGGGATATAATCTTGCGAGATATTTGAGGGAAATGAAAGGGGCACAGATATAGTAGATTTTATGAGGATTTTGTCATTAATACTAGAATGTTAATACATCAATAATTACATGAGGAGTCTGCTTTTCTTTAGGTGCCCCTCACTGATGTAGTAGATCCCCCAGACTATGAGGAGTTTGTTCTCCAGAATTCTTGTACCGTAGAGCGTGACCCCTTCAGGGATCTTATTTTGTATCCTGAGGATGATGTTGATGTTCACAGCGTTCCTAGGAAATGTCGGACTGTCAATCCCATTGTACCAGAACTCGGGTAATGAACTAACAAATATACACTAGCCAGTTGATATATAGACAAGTTTGTAGTTGATCAAATGTTACATTTCTTTTTTGATTCCTTAGTCCTGACGCTGATGAGTTTGTGTTTGACCTGGCTCGGCGATATACTGCGGACTACACGGTTATCACGCGTCGCTATCACCGGTACAGCTCTAGCGTGTGTAGTAAGGAGAAGCTGACGGGACAGGAAGCCACCGTCCCACAGGAGTATGAGGTCGACATGGAGGAAGGACAAGAGGACAATTCAGAGGTTTGTATCAATAACAGTTATTACAGGTGACCGCTAGGGGTATACAATATTACGGATATATAAATAGATTGCGATATGAACCACTTGACGCACTGTGACAATAGATCGTGATATTAAAATAAGATACTAATATTTAATGATATTTATGAAAATATATAAAATTCTGCTACACAATTCAAAGTCACATCTCTTTTCTTAATTTTAAGGATGGTGTGAACAAGCGACAGTCCATCCATATGAATTCTGTCCCACGGGGCAGTTGGGCCAGCAGTATCTTTGACCTGAAATCCTCCCAGGGAGATCAGCTCCTCCCACACTTGTTTGACCAGGTGTCCTACGAACAGATCGATGCAGACAACAAGAAATGTCGCCAGGAGAATCGTGAGGACACACTGTTTAGCTTGTTTCCTGGAGAAGATGAGGTATCTGTACATCAAAATTCCCGAGTCAATAATTCTTTACCGAAGGGAATAGTGCATATCCCTAAAAGTTTCAGGGAATTTTTATTCCTCTCAAAGTTTTAAAGAACAAATGTTATACAGCTTGGGATAGTATGAATATCTGTAAGATAATTCTAAAGATAAGGAAGCAAATTTAGGAATATCTGTAAGATAATTCTTACTCTAAGGAAGCAAATTTTGCCCCTTTTCCCAGTATATTTCAATTCTAGAACTCTTGAATGTAGCAGTGTTAATGTACTGATATGTTCAGTGTTATTAGTCCATTACTGGCAGAATTTGACTTAATTATGTCTTTACCTGTACCTTTGTGCCATTACATAGGAGGATCTGATAGAAAGAAGACCACCACCGCCCTTCCCACAGGAACACTTTGGTCATAGAATCATTGTTAAGTGTCTGCAACTCAAGTAAGATATTTCAAAACGCATTCAGAACAAAATTATCTGGCATTATTTAAAATGTGCCTTGTTTTGGCTTATTACATTTCTTTAATATTTTATTCTTATTTTGCATTAGAATGGAATTGGAATTCGAACCATTGTTTGCTACAATGGCTTTGTATGATGCCAGAGAAAAGAAAAAGGTATGTTTTGACTTCACAAATTTAACTGTATCATGTTAAGTATGCATGCGATAATTACAAAGTTCTGTATCATGTTATATATGTATTTGATTATTACAAATGTAACTATATCATGTTATGTATGTATGACCAAGTGTGATACGTCAAGTACTGTGCATGCAGACAATTTGAGTAAAATTTCCTTATAGAAAATAAGGTGTTGGCTGTGTAGAAATGTAAGGGTAATAAGATCATGTCTTGAGAAACATAAACATGTGCCTTGTGACTTCAGATATCTGAGAACTTTTACTTTGACGTGAATCAAGATGAACAGAAGAAGATGATAATGATGCACATCCACCAGGCTGACGTGTCCACCATGAGTCGAGCGGCATGTTTCAGTATCACATATCCCTCTCCTGACGTCTTCCTTGTTATCAGGGTAAGTAACAATGGAATACATAGTAACTCTGAACAGACTGAATAGATTAGGATCTTAACAACTAATTTGTAACACATCAGAATTTGAAATCTTTACTCTTGTTGTACATGAAGTAATTTTTACAAAAAATGCTAGGGTGTATAATGTGTTTGTGTATAAGTTACAGTGTATATGTTTGTACATGTGCTATGTTTGATTATTCCCACATTTGGAGAAAGTGTAAACTGTTTGTGTATAAATTGTAGTGTATATGTATATACATGTGCTATGTTTGATTATTCCCACAGTTGGAGAAAGTGTTACAGCAGGGAGATATAAGTGAATGTGCAGAACCTTACATGAAAGAGGACAAGGTATCCACCTTTGTTATGATATTGGAAATTTCTGTATAAATCATGAAGCCCACTTAAGTTTGAATTGATATCTCCCAACTCTTGCTAACCAGCATTTTTAAATAAACATAATGTGGCGTAAGGATTAATCAATTCACCCAATTTTATTAGGCAAAAGAGGACCGTTTGAGGTCAAATGCTGCACAGTTTTGTGATCGGCTTGGAAAGTACAGAATGCCATTTGCTTGGACTGCTATCTATTTAATGAACATTGTTACTGGGGCAACAGGAGGTCAGGACTCAGAGAAAACTTGTGAACAAGAACCTTCTAGATCTGCCAGTCTAGGTAAGAACAGTATGTCTGTAGGTAAAAATGAAAATCTATTTATTCAAAAGTTTATCAAAAACTAAATTTCTGTGTTTAGTCTTTGTGGGAATTTTTTAAAGTTTAAGAATAAATACTTGTGGTAGTATTTTTAATCTGAAGAACAGGATCTTTCTTATTCTATTTATAGACAGGAGATCTGTCTCAGGGGTCCCGGGTCAGTTTGACAGTTTCCGCAGAAGAAATAAAGATGAGTTTTCCTCCACTAGACGAGGATCAATGGAGCGGGGTCGAAGTGAACGGAGAGGACTGTACTCAGGAGATGATTATGGTCCGAGTCTGGATAATTTTAGACCCGTCACTCTGACCGTGTCCAGCTTCTTTAAACAGGTAATAGCTGATATTAATATACAGTTGTATATATATAGATAGGATAAGAACTGATATTAATGTACAGTTGTATATATAGATAGGGTAAGAGCTGATATTAATATACAGTTGTATATATAGATAGGGTTGTATATATAGATAGGGTAAGAGCTGATATTAATATACAGTTGTATATATAGATAGGGTAAGAGCTGATATTAATATACAGTTGTATATATAGATAGGGTAAGAGCTGATATTAATATATTTGTAGATAGGGTAAAGGTAAAAACACTATAGGATGACTATAACAGATAAGTGAGCTTTCTTTGAGCTACAGATGGTACATATAAATTACATTAAATTAACATGTACATTAGGGCAGGGAATATTTATGTTTACTGTCTAGTTTTAATCATTTTGTTAACTACGATATATGTCTAGGACCGTTTCTATTTCTAAGCCTCAAAATCTCTGATGAATTCTATTTTCAGGAAGGAGATAAACTGAGTGATGAAGACCTGTATAAATTTCTGGCTGATTTAAAACGACCTTCAAGTGTTCTCAAAAGAGTCAAGTGCATCCCTGGTAAATTTCACCATCTGACAGTGTATCAGTGTATAGACTGCAGTAGATAGCAATATTTCTTATAGAAAACTACTAATAATGCCTAGAGTGATTTAATTACATGTATCTGCTCAATTTATGATTGGCTTTATCATTTTCTTACATTAAACTTAAACAGGTACCTTAAAGCTTGATATATCTCCCTGCCCTGAAGAACCCCGCTACATGTTGACCCCAGAACTCTACAAAGTGGAGCCTTACCCAGACGACAAAACTCGACCCACAAGAGAGATCCTTGAGTTTCCTTCTCGTGAAATTTACAACCCTAACACATCATACAGGTCTGATTAACTTAACTAGCATTGTAGTATATATGTCAAATTATTTGGGTCACCTAAGCCACTCAGGTGACCTATTGCTATTTGTATTTTATATTGTGTTCATTTAGGTATCTTCATTACATGTGAATTTCTTGGAGACAAGTTACATAAATAAGATAATGATTATAGGAGGAAAATTTTTATCACACAAGTAATTGCAGTTTCAGGTGGGGCCAAAGTGGCCATAGCTTAAGAAACTCATACTTGAGTGAACATAATGGCTCATTGGCCTCTTAGTGATGTCTAGAGTTTCAAGTTTTTTAATAGCATGGATGTACAATTGTATATGTAGATAAATCTTAGGAATATTTTACTCTTGGATGGGAAAAAACTGTGTGTGGGTTGTGAAATGTGATTACTTTTACACCTATATAATTATTGTAGGAATCTGTTGTACATCTATCCAAGAAGTTTGAACTTCAGTAACAGACAAGGATCTGCCAGGAATCTGGCTGTCAAAGTCCAGTTCATGTCAGGGGAGGAGGAGGGATGTGCTCTCAAGGTAATCTATAGAGCAAAGCTTTAAGGAAGCTCTAAACACTGCACACTGAAGAGCTCTAATTGTTGGGTAGTTTTATGCAATTAGAATCAGCTGCCCTTAAAGGTAAGATAAAATAAATGGAAATCTACAGTTAATGAGATAATAGTATTATTAGCATTTTGTTAGACCAACATAAAGTAATTGAATACAATATTAACATGTAGATAAAATTGTGTGTAGGTAAACAACAGTTATTTTTATTCACTCTCTGAACTTTTTTCCTGGGGGAATATGGCAGGTACCCTTTGTTGAAAGTGAGCTAGATAAATTCAATATGTACACCTCAAATCACACACATCAAAATAATCTCAAAGTCCAAAAAAAAATGTTTTTCAGTAATGTTGGAGCTTCCTTAAGATACAGTTAAGATTTCAGTGAACTTATTTTTTTAGGGATCAAAGTCCTACAGTGTTGTTCAAACAAGTTATTTCTTGCTTATAAAAGGTGTTGAAGTGTAATGCATGTACATGTGTGATGCATGTGAAAGTACATTGTTTACATATAAAAGTATGATACAATAAATCATGCTGAAAGACTGTTGTTCTAATGTTTGTGAACTGTATTATCTCTTTATCATTCCATATTAGTGTCAGTGAACGTTGTTATGTTTTTTTAAGGCCATATTTGGGAAATCAAACTGTCCAGAGTTGTCCAAAGAAGCGTACACTTCGGTGACCTACCACAATAAATCACCAGACTTCTACGAGGAGATAAAGATCAAACTCCCGGCTAAACTGACTGATGCCCACCATCTTCTCTTTACCTTCTACCACATCAGCTGTCAGACCAAGAAAAACGAGTCTGGTCCTGTCGAAGTTCCCGTGGGATACACGGTAAAAAAAATCAAGAAGGGGCATAGGTTTCTTATTTTGTGGTGACCTCTGTTTATTGGTTTAAGATTAAGTAGATTGTAGGCTTAGCTACATCAAATGAATTGTACTTTATCATTACAAATAAACAGTACAATGATATTTTAGATTAACACTTTATAATAGGGATGTCAACGAGTACCCGGTTAACCGGGTACTCGATCGAATGTCCGAGTATCGAATACTAAAAATGGTATTCGGTTACTCGGAAGTGTATTTTTTCTTATTTCAAAGTACATATTTTTATCAAAAATTATCAAAAAAATAACTTAAAACTGCATACGGTTATTACTGTGTCGTCATGTACACCTGTAAATCACCCATTATTGCCTGTGGCTGTGTATATACAGTAATTAGTGACCTGCTGTTCTCACCTATTGTGGTCCTTAATTTTTGAATGGCTTCAATGATTGCTTTCAGTGAACATCGATTAAGTATGGTCTATTATCTTCAAATCATTTTAAAATTATTTAGTTAATATTTGGCAGCGAAATCGGACATGCATAGAAATGCCGCTACCTACTTCAAAAGAAAAATTTAGAAATAATTAAAGATTCAAAAAAATGTTGAAAGTCAGTTTGTGTAGTAAGTTTATACAGGGGAAACAACCAGCTTAGACTAGCGATCCAAACAACGTCCGTTCCTTCCCTTTGGCTAGTCTTATCATCACTAACCTGCGTAAAAGACTGTTCTCCTTTTGCGTTGATGAAATAGATCCTAAACAAGAACTGTAAATCATTTGTAATTTTTGATGTATTAATTGTGTCTTTTGTGTTTATTTGATAAATAAATTTAGTACCCAAAAATCAATCCCATTGGACTCGATGTTTATATGTATAAATTTATTAACGTGATAAAAACAGCTTTGTGGTTTAACAGAGCTTAACGTGGCTAAAAAAAAATAACACACTTGTATTTACATTTTTATATGTACTGAGTACCCGGGTACTCGATCGGAAAAACTTCCGAGTAACCGATTATCAAATATTGACCGATTTGACATCCCTACTTTATAATTAAAACATCTTCAATATACTGTTCTACACAATAAATACAGAAATTGATTAATAACATGCATATCAAAGTGACTGAAACATTTTTGAATTGATAAATATTAAACTTGAGAATTCCATTTAAGAAGGTTGTGACTAATGTTAACTTGGCTGTGACAAGTCTGATACTGTTGTTTCAGTGGCTCCCCCTTTGTCGGGAAGGGAAGCTAATGATTGATGACTTCTCAATTCCTGTATCCGTGGACAAACTTCCTCCCAGCTACTCCATCCTGTTCCCTGATGTAAGTATACACCTTATTGTGTGTCTATAGAAAAACATCCTCCCAGCTATTCCATTCTGTTCCCTGATGTAAGTATACACCTTATTGTGTGTCTATAGACAAACTTCCTCCCAGCTATTCCATTCTGTTCCCTGATATAAGTATACACCTTATTGTGTGTCTATAGACAAACTTCCTCTCAGCTACTCCATTCCCTGATGTAAGTAGTCCCTGTATCTGTAGACAAACTTCCAGCTACTCCATTCTTTTCCCTGATGTAAGTAGTCCCTCTATCTATAGACAAACTTCCTTGCAGCTACTCTGTTCCCTGATGTAAGTAGTCCCTCTATCTATAGACAAACTTCATCCCAGCTACTCTGTTCCCTGATGTAAGTAGTCCCTGTATCTGTAGACAAACTTCCTCCCAGCTACTCCATTCTGTTCCCTGATGTAAGTAGTCCCTGTATCTATAGACAAACTTCCAGCTACTCCATTCTGTTCCCTGATGTAAGTAGTCCCTGTATCTATAGACAAACTTCCAGCTACTCCATTCTTTTCCCTGATGTAAGTAGTCCCTGTATCTATAGACAAACTTCCACCTACTCCATTCTTTTCCCTGATGTAAGTAGTCCCTGTATCTATAGACAAACTTCCAGCTACTCCATTCTGTTCCCTGATGTAAGTAGTCCCTGTATCTATAGACAAACTTCCAGCTACTCCATTCTTTTCCCTGATGTAAGTAGTCCCTGTATCTATAGACAAACTTCCAGCTACTCCATTCTGTTCCCTGATGTAAGTAGTCCCTGTATCTATAGACAAACTTCCAGCTACTCCATTCTGTTCCCTGATGTAAGTAGTCCCTGTATCTATAGACAAACTTCCAGCTACTCCATTCTGTTCCCTGATGTAAGTAGTCCCTGTATCTATAGACAAACTTCCAGCTACTCCATTCTGTTCCCTGTTGTAAGTACTCACCTTAGTGTGTAATGAGATACTCTTTATGACTTGAATTATTCATAGTGGTAAGGGGAACCTCTTGGAGGTATTATAGTAGTAGAGGATCCTGTTGGAGGTATTTATAAATAGTAATAAGGGGATCCCTTGGAGGTATTATAAGGGGATCCTCTTGGAAGTATTTTATTGTATACAGAGTTATTTTCACCCCATCTTATTTTTGCCCTTTTGTACCAGCAAACACTTTTGCCCTGTTTTGAATTTGCATTGACACAGTTCTGTTTAAGAGATAATGCTGTTTTCTTTGAATTCGCCTGTTTCAAATTTGCCCAATTGCGACTAGGGCGAAAATAAAACGGGGGCGAAAATTTCCCTGTATACAGTAGTAGTAGGGGATCCTCTTGGAGGTATAGTTGTAGGGGTCCTGTTGGGGGTATTTATAGTAGTAAGGGGATCCTCTTGGAGATCTATATATTAGGTGGGGATCCCCATGGAGATATTTATAGTAGTGAGGGCATCCTGTAAGATGCATTTGAAATTGTTGTCGCAGACATTCGTATTTCAAATACATAGGACATGTTGAAGTGATTTGGCAGTCCCAACTACTTTTATTTATGTTTTTAACCTCATCATCTTGAATCCTTAGATATCTCAAAGTTTAATCTAGCTGCAATAATGTAGCCCTCTCCGATTTTTTTAATCTGATATTTTCAGGAGAGGGCTACAATTCCACTGCATCTCCATAATGGTGCAAACATATTTTTTAGATATGGGCAACTGCAGGCAAAATAAATTGTTTTTGCATTTAACTTACTTCCAATAAGACGGAATTTTTATTCACTATCAACATCATAGCCCAAGTAAAATAAATCTGCGTGTTTTCCAGTTGTTCTCCTCAGCTGCCATGACAGTTCTCGCGTGATGTAAGGAGACTTGCGCTTGAAATTTAGAATCACTTGATAATGTAAATGTCGGTGTTGATAAATGTTTGTGTTGTATGATATCACTATACATCGATAAATAAAAACATTCCATGTGATATTTTTTTCATAAACAGTGATATTTATGCTTATAATAAGGGAAATCCATACAGATCCGCTCCCCTAGATCCCGAATTCTCATTGGCTGTCCCAAAATAAAATCGATCAAGGTCAGTAGCATGGCTGATAAATTCAAGTTGTGATGTTGACATACACGAAAAATAACCGATATACGGATTGTTCTGTATATTTTTGGATCAATTCATGTCCTGCATAACAAAAAAAAAATCGGGGGAGGGCTACATTAAGCAGCTAAGTTTAATCTAGGTCCAGTCAAGTTCTAGATAATGAGGTTTGACTGTGTATACATAGAGCAGGATCCTCTTGGAGATATTAATACAGTGAAACCTGTCTAATCCAACATGCATTTGGTATAGGCAGTGTGTCAGATTACACAGTGTAAAGACTATAGATTAATAGTAAAATAAGATTGAAATGAAGGTCAGAATTCACAGTGAAACAGATTACACAGGTGTCTGATGAGACAGTTTTCACTGTAGAAGTAAGGGGATTCTCTTAGAGGTACATGTATTTACAGTAGGTAGAGGATCCCCTTGAGATATTTACAGTAGGTAGAGGATCCCCTTGGAGATATTTACAGTAGGTAGGCCTCTTGGAGGTATTTATAGTAGGGAGGGCATCCTTTTGGAGATATTTATGGTAGTGAGGGTATCCTCTTGGAAGTATTTATAGTAGGGAGGGCATCCTCTTGAAAATATTTATAGTAGTGAGGGTATCCTATAGGAGGACCAGTTAAATCTGTTGTCTATTGTCAGTACACAGATACAGATGTCCAGGATTCCAACCCATGATTTTTAACATTTTGGAAGTTCATGTGTTGTATTTACAAAGGAATGTGAATTATGTGCATTCCATATAAAATTTTACATTTACCAGCTAAGGGTTACCCCCACATCCCAACAGAAGCAGATCTCAAGACAGGTTAGGAAGACAAGTAGCAGTTAAATTACTTTGTAATCTTTGTTCATTTTCTACTGTTAATTCTTTGTTTATCTATAATTACTTTATGAGTTAGCATGTCTGTATTTTGATATGTACTGTTATGCATATTAGGAATATCTTTATGATCGTCCTGTAAGTAATTATCAGGCTATATTAACACAAATTATCAGAGCCAGACAGGCCACTAGAATGGATTTATAACCAGGATTTATACACATTTCAGTTACAGTAAAGAAAATATGTTAATTTTGTATCCTTTTTTATTCAAGCACAGGCACATTGGAGATATACATGTACATGTGTTACTCTATTTTAAAAATGAAAATCCCTGATATAAAATTTGGTCAAAGGCTTTATAACACAAATCTTTTAAATGATCGATTTATTCAAAATCTAGAAGTCTACAAGCATTTATCTACTGATGTGCAAGCATACGTTTGTATGGTTTTAATATCATACTATTCCAGTAAAATTTATTTGATGAAGGTGGAATGCCCATTTAATTTTTGTTTACGATAAATGGTACTATTAAAAAGTAAGATATACATTATGCTTTTCTCTCTTTGATTGGAGGCAGAGAAAATTCTAGAAGAATATGTGGAATTAATATTATGTTGAATCAGAGACTTAAATAACTATGTGATTTATGAAGTAGTGATGTTATAATTAAAAGCAATATAATGCTTATACAATTGTGACAAATGATTACAAGAATTGATTATGGATATTTTGTTTCTTGTAAAGAAAAACATGAAAGACATTGTTGCGGCCCAAATTCCCTCAATCCCCAACCCCTCTTTTCTCGTACTAGAAATACCCATGGAAATAAGTGAAGATTGCATCAATAATCACTTACTCATAACAGACCAACATTATTATAGCTGTTTTGTTTGTTTTTGCTGGTGCGGGGGATGTGTTGGCTAAAAACTTTTTTTTCTCAGTAGTGGTGATTTTTCTTTTGGGTGTCTAAAAATTAGTGGCATTCCACCCCCTTCATATAGATTTTACTGGAATAGCCTTCATTCAGGCCATTTGTTTGGGTTGAAGTATTAAGGTTTTACCTAGATTTTTACATGTATACTGAAAGTGTTTAACATCACAAATCTATAGATTCAGAAAGAACAAGGAAACTGTTTGTTTATATTACAGTATTATAACACTGTATATTAAGTACATGTATGTATCAGAGACCACAGGGGAAGGATATGGCTATAGGTGGAGTGTTAGGTTTTTACATACAGCATAATAGCTTAGTAATATTTCCTTGTTGTATAATACATACATTCATGAAGCTAGAAGATTTCCTTATAGTTTAATAACTGTTCAAAAAAAATTGTAAATTGTCAAAATTATATGGATGTTTACCAAAAGATGTTGATAGAAATTGGTGAATCATGGCAGAATGGGGCATAAGATGTTTACTTACAGAAAGATTAGAGAGTGTTGAATTCCATGGACCTTTTTATCAAACATAAATATTAAATTACTATAGCAATTGTAGCAGTTCATATATTGTAACCTAATATTCAGAGAAACTTATTAACAATTTTTGAAATAAGTGGCTTTTTTTTGGACATTCACAATTATTTTTTGCTTCATATTGTATTCTTATAAAATGCTTTGGTTTCATTATCTCATAAATAAAACTATTTCATTTTAACAATAAAATGCTTTCTTTGATTGTAAGTATGGGAATTAATGCCGCAGCTGTTGCAGAAAAAATACATATCCCACTTAAACGGGTTGTGTAATTTTTTTCTGCAATAGCTATGACATTAATTCCTGTACTAACAAACGAATAAATAAAGACGTTTTATTGTTTATATTTATATCTGTATAAAAAAAACATATAAAGTAAAAATAAATGTGTTAAATATTGTGTATTAGATGTGTATGTCATTGTATGCATAATTGATGGAAGAGCCGTTGCTCAAGAAATCTATGCAGGTGGTTTGCTAAGTACCATTTACCAACTGGTAAATGGCAATGGTTTTGATAAGAAATAAAAGAAATAATATTCAGTGGATGTAAATATAGTAATATGAAGGAATTAAGATTAATTTCAGTAGAGTTTATGAAAGCTAGTGTTTGTTTGAATGATTGAGTATTGGGGCTTGATTTTCTTGAAGAAAACGTTTTCCGTCCATTATTATGCTCTGTATTTATAGTAGTCTACTTTTCCTTTACAGACAAGCCTGCCTAACATGAAATGGGTGGATCACAAAGGGGTGTTTAATGTCAGTCTGAGGTCGGTGTCATCTGTCCACACCCAGGTAAGAAACAGAAGCTGAAAACAAAAGTCAAAATCTTTCACTTTCAGTTGGAAATAGTGGAGAAAATGTTTATTGTTGGTTGTAATCCCCCCCCCCCTCCCCCCCCCCCCCCCCCCCCCCCCCCCCCCCGAAATTTGAGATAAACTCGGATCTTTTAATAAATGTTTCTTTAAAAATCTAAGCATGCTAAGTAAGGGATGAATCCTTTTAACTGATCCCTTGTGTTATTTAGTAGCTCATAACTTGTATATTACCACTAGGTCAACTTGTATATTACCACTAGGATCTAGGATGACAAGCTCAAGAAGTTCCTGTATAATTGTCAATATTTAAGGAATCACTGTCTAGTTTGTTGGGTATGCCAAGGCATTAATGTTAGTTGGAAACCTGGGATAATTTGCATAGCAGTCAAGGATTGTTATGCATAAATTATTCCACGTTTCCAGCTGTCATTGATGTCCTTGGCATACCCAACAAACAAGACAGTGATTACTTATATTTTCATTTATACATGTATGTGAAATAAAAGTTTAATTATAAATAAAAAACGCTGTCTAAAAGATTTAAAATACATGTACACGAGGCATTTTATGTTAATTTCCATAGTCCCCGCCCTATGACATCAGACACAAAGACAGCCTCGAGAGATTGACATGCATATTAGGCATTTGACCTTTCACCTGGCCAAATTTACGTTCAGTTGTAGTTATTGAGAAATCAACATACATGTACCTAACTTTCAGAGAGTTATCACAGAGAAAACAATTAGCAATGTAAATTTATTTTTATATTACCACTAGGATGACAAGCTCGAGAAGTTCCTGTATAATTGTTGTCATTTGTATATTACCACTAGGATGACAAGCTCGAGAAGTTCCTGTATAATTGCCGTATGACCTTGGAACAGAAACTCCCTGTCAGGAAAACAGAGGCTCAGTTTGAGAATGATCTGAGACAAAGCATACAAGAGGTTCCCAAGGCCCGGGGGGAGAATCTCATCCAATTCCTCCCCCTCATACTGGACAGGCTGCTGTACCTCATGGTCAGACCCCCTATACTAGGGGGACAGCAAGGTAACCGTTATATTAAGTAGCAGGTAACACTATATAGAATATGATTTAAAAGATTACATGTACTTATTTATAGGACCAGAGCAAAAAATATATAGAATCAAAATATGGGCTGCTGGATTTGAGATATGTAGTGCTGTATAGAGGGTTATTTTTGCCCTTTCGTACTTTCAAACAATTTCACTCCATTTTGAATTCGCCCAGGCACAGTTTCTGTAACAGAAATATATATGCCTTTTACTTTGAATTCGCCCCTTTTAAATTTGCCCAATTGTAACAAGAACGAAAGGGGCAAAAATAAGATGGGGCCAAAATTTTCCCTGTATATATAGTATTGGTAGTGATGTTAATGAGTATTGGAGTACTCAACTATAACTTGGCCATACCGAGTATTGACTTAATATTTTTTACTTGATTACTCATCAAATTGCATAATCAATATTTATCACAAGCTTTTATTGTTTTGAAATTAATTATTCTGGCCCAATTCTCCTCTAAAGAGCCATGGGCACAATTGCATTGTTGTTTTGTCTACAATTTTAAATTTCTAATTTTATTCAAAAATAACTTCAGTTTAATGAATTTAACTTACATAAAAAATTCTTAAAATTTGAAGACAATGACTTCTCCTTAACATCACGTCAAACATCTATTCTGTTTGTAAACATGGGAACAAGCCCTGTTATTGTTAATGTGTATGTTCAGTTTATTTACTCTGCACACATCACTGAGCACGGAATTACAATACTGGGGAGCTAGTTTTGTTTTCTCCTACTTCTGGATTATACTGCACGTGTACATAATTTGGCATATTCAAAATTTAGCGCATCACTGGGTATGGAGTTGTTGGTGAAATCATGAATTAGCACTATACATGTCCGTGCCGTATATTGTATTTATAAATTATTTCTTACCGGTATTCATGAATTAGCACATCATTGTCTGTGCCAAAGCCGCTAAAATATGAAGCCCACTTTTTTAAGTACACGTACAGTAGTTTTAATGTTATTCATTAATACACAACAAATTTTACTATTTCCTTAATTATTAATCATCAATCAAACCTGTTCCAAAATTCATAGTTTTAATAATTTCCAAATGAAAGAAGTTTTTAAACACGCTTTTATAATATTTCAGTTTGAATTGCTCTAGCAAAATACATGTATATGTCATAGTATAATTATTCTGAAAATTCTAGAAAATATTAACTTCAAATCTGTGTCCAAGCCCCTTTAGCTGTTTACCAGTCACAGGACAATAATTTAGCATGAGTTAGACATGTTTTAATGTCCTCCAGTGATAGATCAATTAAATGTATCGGTATATTGAGAAGAAATGACAAGCCTTAGCATTCATAGGAATTGATAAGGTGTATTTAAATAAAATGTGCCGTAAAATAAATTATCTCTACAGTTTAGTAACATTATGTTGTATGTTACAGTAGTTTGTTTAAATATTGAGTGTATAAGCAGTCTGAAAAGGATTGACAGTTGAACTGACATGAGAAAAATAATTTTAATGAATACTTGACTAACTTTCGATTAAAGCCCACAATTATTCGACTAGCCTATCCAAGTGAAATTGACATCCCTAATATATATATACGTATATATGCATGTATAAACAGAAGTTTGTATTATATTACTTTCCAGGTGTTGATGTGGATTTCATATTTTCTTTTATTTGTAGCTAACATTGGACAGCCAGCTTTTGAGGGGGTTATTTTGGTCGTGAAGAGAGTTCACGAGTTACTCTCTGAGAAAAATGACCGTAATGGCCGCAATTTGACCCTGGCTACCTATGTCCACTACTCTTGTAGTCTGCCTCACCCTGGACCACTACATCACTGTTGTAAGTATCTAAACGTGTCATTAAAAACATTTATCTTAGCTGCAAATTTCTAAAAATAATATTTCACTGAAATTGTCATAATTTTATTATGATGAATTTCAAAGACTTTTATTTAAGAATTCATTATTTCAAAGAATATGTGATAAATGAAAGTACATGTATCTCAAACACTGCATCATTGCAACTGGTTTCTGAAACAGTATACTGTAAAATCAGAAATATTTATTTTTAAATGGCTGTACATTGAATAGAGTTACTTTTGAATCAATGAAATTTAATTCCCATGAAACAATTATAGATCAGAAATCTGTGATATTTTATCCCAACAAAAATTCTGCTTCCAAATTATCTTTTGGATATGAAATGTCTGTAATTAAACCACCACATCACTGCAGTAGGCTTTCAAAACACTACATCATTACCGTTAGTTTTCAGAACACTATATCATTAAAGTACACTGTCTAAAACAGTCTAAGTACTACAGATAGTCTATAAAACACTACTGTTTAAATGGTTATTTTGTCCCATGTTATTTTCGCCCTTTTGCACTTGTGAACAATTTTGCCCCTTTTAAATTTGTCCAGTCACAGTTCTGTTTATGAAATAATATTTTGTTCTTTAGATTCGCCCCGTTTTAAATTCGCCCACTTGTGATTAGGGTGAAAGGTGCGAAAATAAAATGGGGGCAAAATTTTCCCTGTATACAGTATGTCATTAAAGTACTCTATCTAAAACACTACATCATTACAGATAGTCTCCAAAACACTGTATCATTAAAGTTTAAAGTACACTGTCCAGAACAAAACACCATTACAGTAATTGTCTAAAGTAAAACATCTCTGCAGTAAGCATTAAACACTACATCACTGTGGTTATTATCTTAACTGATACATCATTATGGCAAACATCAACAATGTGCATGTTCAAGTAAGTTTTATAAGAATTTCCCCCCATTTTTTCAGCCACAGAACCATCCCTGGTATCTGGATACAACACACTCGGTCGTCCGTCTTCACTTCCTGTCTCAAATAAATCCTTCCAGAGAAGCACTAGTAACCCTGACCTAAACGCACTCACTCCCACTTCACCAGACAATGAGATATCAGCCATTCTGGGTATGTGTACTATCACCTCACTAGACAATGAGATATCAGCCATTCTGGGTATGTACACTCTCATCTCAACAGACAATGAGATATCAGCCATTCTGGGTATGTATACTATCACCTCACTAGACAATGAGATATCAGCCATTCTGGGTATGTACACTCTCATCTCAACAGACAATGAGATATCAGCCATTCTGGGTATGTACACTCCCACTTCACCAGACAACAAGATGTCAGCCATTCTGGGTATGTACACTCCCACTTCACCAGACAACAAGATGTCAGCCATTCTGGGTATGTATACTCCCACCTCACTAGACAATGAGATATCAGCAACTCTGGGTATCTATACTCAATCATCATCATTAGACAATGAGACACAGCCATTATGGGTATGTATACTCACTCACACCTCACTAGACAATGAGGTATCAGCCATTCTGGTATGTATACTCTCTTCTCACCCTACAATGAGATATCAGTTATTCTGGGTATGTATACTAACTCCTACCTCACTAAACAAAGAGATATCAGGAATTCTGGGTATTTAGGTTGTAGGGTTGCTGTAGTTCAATACATGGAAAAGAGAGTATCTTACAATATATTATATATCATGTTCTACCATTATAGCAAATAATATACGGAGAGCTTAGAATGTGTGTTATGTATATATGTGTGTTATGTATATATGTATTTACTACATACATGTGTATGTTTAATATATATTACAATAACTATTGTAAGAATTATTCTTTTTGGTTGAACCTCTTACCTGTTGTCTGTAGGAGGCACCAAGTTCTTAGACAGGACAGGAAGCATGAGAGCAGATGAATTCAACCAACCTCAGATGATGAAAAACAGGGGCAAGAAGGTCAGATGGATTTCATTTCATTTAATTTAAAAAGAAAAAGCAGATATACATCCTTCCTTCTAATTTTTGCTGAGTACACAAAATGATACAGAATTTGGACAAAAATGGAATTGTGTTTAAATATTTTTAAAGTCAGTTCAATAGAATTTACATGGCATTAAATGAAGAAATTTAATATGGGCAAAATGTGTGTACAATTACTTTCTTGTATTTATAGAATGTCATATGTTTGTCATGTGACCTGTGAAATGTCACATGTTTGTCATGTGACCTTTGTTATTTACAGCTTGTCCATGAAGAGCTTGTTCTGCAGTGGTTAGTTCTTAGTGGACAGAACAGAGACCATGCATTTGCCTATTCCTGGTTCCTCTTTGAACTCATTGTAAGTCTTCTGATTTATACAGAGAGTCCTGTGTGTGAACATTGCACATAATATTCAGTATCCAATCAGGATTTTGTGAAGAAAATAATTTTAATACTGCCATACATCGAAAAATCTTTCTTGATAAAAATTTCTCATAACAGAATGACATACATGTAAAAGGTATTTCTGTTTTCACACTTCGTCATTTTTGTAGATAAAAAGTATGGCTGAACATCTGAACAAGACACAGAAGCTGGATGTGCCTCGTCAGATGAGATTTAATGATAAGCCTTTTGTGGAGGATATAGAGGCTTTGATGAACCTAGTCAACAAAGAGATCACAGACAAGTACATAAAGGTAAAAGTTCATAGGTCAACAAGGAAATCACAGACAAGTACATAAAGGTAAAAGTTCATAGGTCAACAAAGAAATCACAGACAAGTACATAAAGGTAAAAGTTCAATAGGTCAACAAGGAAATCACAGACAAGTACATAAAGGTAAAAGTTCATAGGTCAACAAAGAAATCACAGACAAGTACATAAAGGTAAAAGTTCAATAGGTCAACAAGGAAGTCACAGAAAAGTACATAAAGGTAAAAGTTCATAGGTCAACAAGGAAATCACAGACAAGTACAATAAGGTTAAAGTTCATACTCATCTGATAAACATGAAAATCACTGACAAGTACCTAAAGATAAAAGTTCATAGGTCAACAAGGAAATCACATGAAGGTAAAAGTTGATAGGTCAACATGGAAATCACAGATAAGTACATAAAGATAAAAGTTTATAGGTCAACAAGGAAGTCACAGGCAAGCATATTAAGGATAAAAGTTCAGGGGTTAGAGTGAAATGCTTATATGTACAGACATTATAATTTTCCCTCTGTGTATATATATTATACGTTTACATATAACATACTTGTAATAAGTAAGACTCATTGTATTTAGTGTTTGAATATTTTAATCCTCAGGAGCCACAGATAATTCGGAGTCTTAATACCAGTCTGGCCTTCTTCCTGCATGACCTTCTGAGCTTCATGGATCGAGGTTTTGTCTTCAACCTCATCGCCAATTACTGTGGGGCAGTCAGTATTCTGTCTTTTATGTTGATTTTTTATCTATACCTTGTTTAGAATTAATGAAAGAGAGAATTGTTAGCCAGAGAATAAATCACTCTTAGTATTCCAAATACAATGTATAAATATGTTGTTCATTAGTTTGTGTTCATGTGTATACATATACGTATTTTAGGAGCTGGTGATAGATTCTGTGACATACATTGTATATAACCTTCATTTATAGTATGTACTTGTGTGTTGACAGATAGCAGAGAAGATCCAGACTTTATCTGATTCCACCACTCTAATGTTACTCAGGCTTGACTTCCTACGAATTGTATGCAGCCATGAGCATTACTTTCCTCTAAATCTCCCATTTGGGACTCCCCTGACTCCCACCTCTGGTAAAGCGGCCAGCCCTACCCCGAGTATCCAGAGCACAAATTCAATGTCGTCATACACGTCTACATCGACACTGACGGATCGCGGCCAGTTCTACGAGCTCACGCTACAGTTCAGACAGCAACACTTCCTTGTGGGTCTTATTCTCTCAGATCTCAAGGTCGCACTCGATACACAGTGAGTTAAAAACCATCCTTATCATTATTTATTGAAAAACAATTGCATGCTGTCCTGTGTTTCATAGAGAGATAGTGACAATTGTGTAATGAATTTTCCACAAATATTTGTTAATTTTTGACATTCAGGAAAAGTAATAAAAAGAGAAATTTACCATTGCTTTCACTAAACTTTTGTGTCCTGTACTGAGCTAGAAATTGTACTTATATAATATGTCATGGAAGGTTACATATCTAAAGAGCTTCAATTAATTTTTTTTTCCATAGTAATCCAATAATACACCAAAGAGCCATCAATGTAGTTCGTAATTTACTGTACAACCATGACTTGGACCTTCGTTACATGGACTCAGAAATGAAGGCTCGGTTAGCGGCCCTGTACATGCCGATCATTGGGATTGTGATCGAGGCCCTCCCTCAGCTGAGTGACCCCGGCCTTGACCTTCGGAGACACACATGTCCGGAGGAAGAGGAGGCAGATAAGATCAGTCACAGTGTTGCCTTGGAGATAGCTGGAGCATCTGTTTTTGCTGGAAGAGTTCAGGAATATCCTGGTGGTCTTGATGAGCCAAAGGTATGGGGCTAATTAGTGATAGTTTGTGCATTTTAATGAGTACAGATTTAAAAGTGAGAATCTTGGTTTGAAGGTTTTCTATTGTGTAGAAGTTGTATAAAAAGAACAAGGCAAAAGTTCTAATACTTGGCAAACACATTTTCTATGTGTTAGTTAACCTAACATTTAACATATGTGGTTAATAGTTTTAACAATTAAGGAATTCAGTGTAAAGAATAGAATGTTACAAAACCTCTCCACAAAAAAAGTTGGATTCAGTAAATATGTTGTTTCTTTTTTACCCTTATCTGTATCAGTTTGGATGGTCATCAGTAAGCTTTTGATCTCACCCTTGTATCTTAACAGAACAAAAAGAGTCCCCTGACGACTGAGTGCACTCGTAACTTATTGATCTGTTTTCTGTGGGTGATAAAGAATGCAGATGAGTCTGTTCTCCGTCAGTGGTGGAATGAGCTCAATGTGAATGTACTCGCCCAGATTCTGGATGTCCTATACTTCTGCATTTCAAACTTTGAGTACAAGGTAAGTGTCACTTTTGACCATCTTTTCAGATCACTGTCTACAAAATAACAGTATATTGGAAGGATGTTTTACATGCTTTGACAATTTTTAAATACCAAGTAGTAAAGAAATTAAACATTGAAAAAAAAAAATCATTGCCCTAGCTTTTTTTAATTGGAAATCCAATAATATGAATTAAATTACAATTCTAAGACCCGTATCAGATGAAATGATAAATGAAGCATGTCAGATAGTTTTGTTTCCTCGTCTTCTTCTTGTAACAAAGCTGATAGCATTCAGGTCTTTATTTCAAAACTGTTAGAGAAAACAAAGAGAAGTACAGTAAAACTACTTAAAGCAGACTGACAAGGACCAACAATTTTGATTCATTAGAAACATAATTTGTTATATATCTGTTCAATTCACAACAGGTTTTAAAACCATGAGGAATAAAAATAACTTAGCTGTAATCCAATATATGTGTGTTTGCAATAAGCATGTTATACTTAGCATTGAATGTGAAGGTTGGAGGAAACAAAACTCTGAATCAGCTTCTAAAGAGATACAGTGTACAGTGTTTGTCATTTATATGTTGTCAAAGGCTTTTGTGTAGAATACCCAGTGAATGTGATGATCATTGTTGTAAAACTGATTGATTTATTATGTGTAAATCTGGGAATAGCAGAATTTTATGATTTGTGGTGCATGCTTGGTGGAGGAAGATGTTGGCTACCTAAACAACCCAATTCCGTATTTGTGTATCTTTTTATAACACCTGCCCTGGCTTTTATTTTTTGTGTGTATAAATATATAACGTGAGAAAGACGTAAGGTCATCAAAGTCAAAAAATGATAAAGATGAATGTTTAATTATCTTAACTTTGTTAAAGTTGAGATTTAGATAACTGTAAAGCGATGTTAATAATCTAAAGTAACATTCAGGGGAAAAAAAAAACAGTCAAGTCTGTGTAAAGTCTGAAGTAATTTAAGTTTTATACCAACATGAACTTTCAAATTGTTGCATTTCAGTTGTTAATTTGTGTAAATCAGTAGCATTTTATAAAATTTTGCAGTCATTATTATCTAATGGTTTCCATAGAGTACTGCTGTGATTTTTAGATGTGTTGCTAAGTGGTGTTGGAAGAACTTAACTGAATGCCTTTACTTGAGGTCCTTCCCTTTTACCAATACCAATTAAGAGTTACTTTCCGATTGGCAAATCTCAAGGAAAAATGAGATGTATCCCTATCTAATCAATTGTCAAAGCCATGTCACATTTATTTTTTGCTTAGTACATGAGATCTACTTTTTCAAGTCAGTTTCTTGTGCAATGGAACATTTCTGTATTAAAATTAATAAAACAGTTTTTGTTCACTCTTTACAATTTATTAAATAAAAGTGTTTCAGTAGTGTTAATCAAATTGTAGGATCTAATTAAAATGATGAAAAATCTCTTCTTTGTTAGCCTCCTACCAATATCTCCACTTGCCTGTCTGTGTGTCCGTCACCTTTGTTTTCCAAAAAAGCTCTATTTTTGAAGGATTTGGATTGAGGTTTGGTACATTGTCAATGAAAAAGAATTGCAGAGAAAATCAAAATTTTGTTGGATTTTGACCCCCTATTGTTGGATTTTGAGCCTTTTGATGGATTCTGACCCTCTTTGTTGGTGCTTTGTGACAATTTTCTCTAGTGTACTTTAAGATATAGCTTTTTCACATATTTGGTATACTGAAGTGCATAAAGTAGTTGCAAATCAAGTTTGATTTTTATGAGTTTAATTAGATTTGGCCTTTTTTTTTAGTTATAACCCCTCAGGGTCTGGATATTGATAAAAATACTTCATTTTCTAGAATTTTATTTTTGATTATACATTGAGTTTTTGGATATAGATTGGTGCATTAGTGCTTTAGCAGAGTTACAGAGCAGATGTAATATTTATGGGATTAATGACCTTTAATTCACCAGAAAATTTAATGTAATGTTTACCAGATTTTTTAAAATTTAATCTTTTAGATAAAAGATCAAGATTTTGAATAGTGCTCTGCATAGCAAACTTGCATTTCAGGGAGTTTCAATGGATACGTCTATTCCTGGTAGAATTATGGTATTTTTGACTGCAGACAGAAAATTCTGTTCTTTTAAATCATTTTATAGTTTTTTAGTTTTTCAGATATAATATTTTATGCTTCTGTGTACAGAAGAATTGCTGATGATTTATTTTCGTTGAATTCACTCTGAGTGAATTACTGTGTTTAAAATCGATGAAAGCTTTGTTTCTCTGAATATGTTAGGTTGTTGGAATTTTATTGCTTATCATCAGACTTGAAAAAAAAACCTCTCATATAAAGGACAGTAGAATATTAAGACAGGCTTCTGTAGATTATTTGACATTTAATATGGCCTTCTGTGGACATGCTTTTAGTATTGAACAGTTTGGTTACCATCTACATTACTTCCCCAGACTTCTCAAAATAATAATATCAGGTATGAACCTTTAAGAATGTATGCCTTGGTAAGAGTTGTGGGGGTTGATAGGGGACATGTATTGCTTTAGCAGTACACTCAGAATCCTTCTTTATCCATTCTATTAGCAAACCTTTCTCAATATTTGGCCCCTGTATTGATTTAACATGAAGGTCAGGCCAGTATTTCATCTAACACATGCATCCACACTGTTAACCAAGTACTAATTAAAAACAGTTTAATCAAGAAGCCATTGATTGTTCCTCACTTTTAGCACTAACAGTAATGCTAGGAGAAAACATCAAATACATTATTGTCTTCAGTTTCACTATTGTTAAAGATATTGACATCCTTTTTTTAATCTTAGATTTCATTTCAGTGTTATTTGAACTCTCTACTTATGTACAGTAGTTGGCCATAATTTAGTTCCCTAAATGGCCGCCGCCGTGAAATGTTGGGCAAGCCTGTTGTAATGTAAAACTTAAATAGCATGCAAACAACAACACGCACTTACCTTAAATTACTAGTATTTCATTATATATCCTTTTGCTTTAATTGCGGCTCTGATTCTCTTTGGAACTTTGATACAGACTTTTTATATAATGCAAAGGAAGTGATGCCCAGATTTCAGTCACTACTCTTTCAAGATCTGACTTGTTGTTAATTTCATTTATGCGGCGTTTGATGCGGATTTTCAAAACTCTCCACACATTTTCTATTATATTCATATCTGGGCTTTGTGCAGGCCAAGGTAAAATGGGAATATTGTTGTCTGCTTTCCAGGCATTACATTGTCTTGATACGTGGCAAGGAGCATTATCTTCTTGGAATATCCAAGGGTGATTTCCAAAGTTTTTTGTTACCACTGGCCACAAATATCTATCCAAAGTTTCAATATAGATATTGAAATTCATGTTTCCATTTATAAGTGTTATTGTTCCGACACCATTATAGGTGATACAGCCCCAGAACATAGCAGAGATTGTACCTTGCTTCTCTCTGTCCTTAAACATTCCTGTGCATTCTCCCATTAAACGTTCGTTAGATTTTCTCCACACATTTTTTTGTCCTCTCCAATTACCACTTTTGTTTCATCACAAAAAATTACTTTAGACCAGTTATTTTCTACTGTCCAACACAATTTCTCTCTACAAAAACTGGTCCGCTGAGATCTGTTTTCTCTCCTTATCGTGATTTTCTTAGAAACAACATGTCTTTTATAATTATTTTCAAACAATCTTCTTCTAACAGTCCTTGAAGAAATATTTTCAACAGAATTGTTGTTAAATTTATCTGTGAGGTCTTCCAAAGTCTGCCTTCGGTTGTTCCGTACCATCCGAAAAAGTCGACGATCAGCTCTGTTGTCAGTTTTTCTCCGCCTGCCAGTTCTTGGAAGGTTTTCTTCATTTCCCCTTTCTTTCACTCGTTTTATAAATTTATTTACAGTCCTCGCATTAACTCCAGTGATTTTCGAGATTTTATGGCCAGAATAACCTTTCTCAGATAAACTTACGATAATTTTTCTCACCTCTGGTGTCAAATCTTTTCCACGGCGACCCATTTTGTTAGCAGACGATTATCAACAAACAAAACGGAAATAGAATTAGGAAAATAAATTTAAAACCAAATTCGATATTGGTGCTTATATCCGGATGCAGAAAGGTAAGATTTTTTAACGTATTGAGAAACTATGGACAAAATATCATCGGCAAAAAGATTCACGAAAACATCAGCGGCCATTTTGGGAACTAAATTATGGCCAACTACTGTAGATGTATTTGAATTCTAAAAACAATGTATTGGTAACAGTGATAAATATAATTTGCATAAAATTTTATTTTATCATAAAATCTAGGTATATATTTTTGTACTTAATTAAATATACTCTGTATTGATTTTTTTTTACTCTAGTAGAATTTTTATAATTGGATGAAATCAATATATCATCAGGAAGTTAATGTCAATGAATTTGACTTCTGTGCATGACTGTAGTTAAGCTAGAAAGTAAGCATGAATTAGAAAGAATTATTAATTCAGAAAAGATGTAGGAGTTGTTTTTAGGATGAATTAATAAGTAATAACATGTTCCTAACAACTCAGTGGATGTTAATACTTGGCATGGCTCAGAATGTTTAATTACCCAGGTCCAGATAATACAAAGTTTTATTGAGCATGGTAAAGAGTAATCTGCCCCTGACTACACAGCTTTTGGTTTTTGTTTGATTGGCGTGTTTTAAGTGTGGAATGCTGTGCTTGGCCTCGCGCACACCTCTGCCTTTATTATACAGCCAAAGTGGTTAAAGCCATTCAGATTATCGGCACACCTAGCTGAAACCTTGTTTGATGCCCCTCGCCCTAAGAGCGCTAGTCTGCCTCGATCATACGAGTTATTATGGGAAGGCTTCCAGAGGAAATCACAGGACTTGCTTCAGCGCCAGAGAAGCAAAGAGGATACAACACAGGTATACAGTTCTTATTGCAAGCAGCTCATTGATTCCAACTAAAGCAAATCCCTACATTACTTTCCTGGTCAAACAGAGTCTTCCAGGTTACTCCCTCTGCTTTTATTACCCCTTTAATAAACATGATTAGACTACTGCAGAAACCCACCCCCAAAGCAAGCATGCTTCATCCTCTGGTGAACTTTTGTTGCTAGAAGTGATTTTAGGGGATCATCTATTCACTCCACACTAAGTCTCTATCCCCTTGGACATAAAAAACTACTACTTCAATCCCACTGAAATTCCCATTGCAGCTAACCCCCAAATTCAAGCTTGTTGGCATACAAAAATTTTCCCAGATGCTGTTGCTTGCTCTGTCGTTGTTAAGGCCCTGGTACTGTGTACTGAACAGTGTCTTCAGTTTCTCTTCTGGCAAACCCAACATCCTCCTTTTCACCAGATGTACTAAAACAGCAAGCCACATCAAACAATAGCAAACTACTGCAGACACCGAGATCACTGCTATACCTCAAATCATTCTGTCAATTTAATCATCACCTTCTCGCATGAAGACCCCAGGATGGACTTTTTTTCAATTCATTTATTTTCCTCCCTTTTAGAATGCAAACAATCTTTTGTTTCCATTATTGAGAGTATATGATCTTTTCAAATGCTTTCTAATTATAGCACACAAAACAGAGTTGAATTCACATATATATGCAAATGGTTAAAGGCAGTATTTAAGTTTTTCAAAGAGCACAGTGAAGGTAGAGGAAACTTTCATATGCTGCTTATCACTGATTCACTGGATAATGCCTCTGACAAGTCATTCAGTGTTACAATACTCATCATAAATATGCACTGGATAATGTCTCTGACAAGCATTCAGTGTTACCAGGTAGATGCTAGGGTGTCAGTAGATATATTTTCACTAAATATGATTTCATCACTTGTTTTTTTTTTATAACAGATAAATTATTTAGGGGTATCTCGTTCTCTCTGATCAGATGCTGATGGTGCTTTTGAACAGTGCTTTGAACAGTCACTTGTGTAAATCACAAGAAAGAAAAAAAATTAAGAAGTTTGCCGGTGTTTTTGAAGCCTTCAAGTCCATGCAAGTCTGGTGAATTTTCCCCTAACTGATAGAGTATAAAATAAAATCAGGAAATTATACCCAGTAAAATGTTGGACTTTTTCCAAATAAATCTTTAATAAACATAGTATATCATATCACTATTAAGGTGTAGTAAATTTAAGCATGTAATTGGTTCGGGTTTGTCTAAGATCATGTTTTAGATCGGGATCAGGATTTTAAAACATCTTCATTAGCCAAATTTGCTAATTTTGAGCTTTGGTTATATTGAATAAAAATGTGTGTTGGTTCATTGAATTTTGATATATCCAAAGTAGACTGTACATGCCCTTTTTGTTTCTGTTTTCAGAAGGAATAATAAGATTTTATTTAATTTATATTAACAGTTATCTGCTCTAGACTTAAAATTTGTGGACTCTTCTCCTTTTAAACCCCCTTCAATTATATAATAATGACGTCAAGGCTTGATTGAAATGCACCACATGTTAGCATAGGGTTTATCATCTCTCTGTTTCTCGTACAAAATTTTGCATTGCTTATGATGTTCCAAAAGAATTATAATTTATAACTAAAATGCAAACAATTTCAGGATAGTCTTTTATCCCATTGAAAGTTATGTCTCTTATCAGAGGGTCAGTGAAAATTAAGATTTCTAAATCAAATTGTGACATTTTAAGCAGAATTTTTGCATAATTTGGATGTAGTTATGAGATGAGTTGGACTATTGTGCAGGTATCCTATTGTTTGTCCCTTAGTGAATGTTAGCTGCATCACACATATATACTAAGTATTGATTATCAGTCCTTGTGTACATGTTTCCTTCTCCAGGAGATGGTGTTTCCACAATTTGTTTGCATTTTGTCTCGTCTAAGACATCATATCTTGTAAACCATTTTTAGTTGGTATTTTTTTATAATATTTTATTACACACTGCCAGCAGATGGAATTTCAATATGTGACTCAAGAAGAGAGCATGAGATGGTGACTGTCAACATATAAATGCTCTATTCTGGTAATGTTATTTAGTGTTTTCCACACTTGTGTAAGTTATTGTTTTGATGCCTTGAATTGTGTGTACTCAGGGTAAGAAGAGCCTGGCCCAGTGTTCTAAACAGACCATACAGAAGAGTGTGGATATGAAATCTCGTCTGGAGGAAGCCATACTGGGTAATCTGAACGCTCGTACAGAGATGATGATGAGACGACGACAAACATCCTACAGTCAGATGTCAGGTGAGTTGTAATTAGTCAGATGGCAGGTGAGTTGTAAACAGTCAGATGGCAGGTGAGTTGTCAACAATCAGATGTCAGGTGAGTTGTAAACAGTCAGGTGAATTGTAAACAGTCAGATGTCAGGTGAATTGTAAACAGTCAGATGTCAGGTGAGTTGTAAACAGTCAGGTCAGTTGAGTTGTAAATAGTGAGATGTCAGGTGAGTTGTAAACAGTCAGATGTCAGGTGAGTTGTAAACAGTCAGAAGTCAGGTGAGTTGTAAACAGTCAGATGTCAGGTGAGTTGTTAACAGTCAGATGTCAGGTCAATTGTAAACAGTCAGATATCAGGTGAGTTTTAAACAGTCAGGTCAGGTGAGTTGTAAATAGTGAGATGTCAGGTGAGTTGTAACAGTCAGGTGTCAGGTGAGTTGTAAACAGTCAGATGTCAGGTGAGTTGTAAACAGTCAGATGTCAACTGAATTGTAAACAGTTAGATACAAGTTAATGGTAAACAATCAGATGTCAGGAGTTGTAAACTCAGATGTAAGGTGAGCTGTGAACAGTCAGATATAAGGTTGATTATAGAATAAAGAACTTCCACATTTTAACTTGTTCAACTAATCTTCTGAGGTACTTCTATTATATGTATTGCCATCGTGTGTCTCTTGTATCCAAAAATAGTCAGATTTGATTTGTGTAAAGTATCATTAAAACCTTTGTCAGATACAGGCAAGTCTCATGAATTTGAAATTATTGAAAAAGAGGGTATATTTGTGATGATTGTTGACACCATAATTAGGGGAATGTTAGTGATTATTGGTGTCATTGTTTACAGGGGATGGTGGTCAGATGAACTCCCAGGGAGACAGACTTCTGAGATGGAGGAAAGATCAGATAAATTACAAACCATCAATGGATCAGATGGAAAGGTACAAATTTTGTTAAAGACAGAGTGGTTTGGCCAAAAAAATTAATCAATAGTTTTTCAGGCACCGCCACATCAGGTCAAAATGCCTCATTGATCAATTTTGTGACATATTGAAAAGGGAAATAACTCAATTTTCTATTTTTCCAAGGTAAAAAAGAAAATTGAGTTATTCCCCTTCTCATAAATGCTAATAGATAGACGTTTTTATAACATAACAATGTATTTCTTGTTAATACGTAATTTTATGAATTAACTTTTTAACAAATGTTTGGAATAAGATTATTTAAAGTTGAATACATATTATTATTAATGTAAGAGAACAAAAAAGTCACAATCAGTTGATATCATCATTTTGTTGAAATGAAAAAAAGGTGTAACACCTACTTCAAAAAAAAAAAAAATTAATTAAAAAAAAAAAAATAAAGATCCTGTCTGCCTCATTAAATTTTTGAAATTTTTGGCCTGAGAAACTATTAATTAATTTTTATTGGCCTTTTTTGGTGTTTTTTTCTGGTTTCAGATTAAAATAAGGATGCAACATAAGAATTGTCCTAAAAAGAGAGTGATTTTGGCACTTCAAAACACATTGGTGTGTAAAAATGATCATGCACACTTTCTATGGGGAAAAAAGTAAAGAAATAAACATTATTACTGTTGATATGTTGATTGTGTTTTATTTGAAATCGCTTGACATTTTGTCAGTTTTATGTTGGTCAGTCCTTGTTGAGTGATGATCAATCTTTGATGAGTGATGATCAGTCCTTGTTGAGTGATGATCAATCTTTGTTGAGTGATAGTTAGTCACAGTTGAAGCCCTAATGATGATGATTTATTTTCAGTGTGAAGCCTCGTGATGTGGAGGCAGATGCTCATATTGAGGGAAGTCTGGCGGCCGAGATCAGCATGGTGGCACTGGATACACTGGAACTTATCATACAGGTCAGGGATTAGTATACAGGTCAAGGTCAAACTAATTAGATCAGAGACTTTAACAAATCAAGACCTCGTGTCTCCCTTCTTCTGGGATTGAATTTACTCATGTGTTGTGTCCTTGACAGTTACAGGTCAAAATGAAACTTAAAACACATGTTTTATGATTGGGAAAAGTTTTGGGGTTTATCTGCAATCTTTATAATAACAGTATTTCTGTTACAGATAGCTAGAAACATGGAGTATGCCCCACTACAGAGTAATGCTTTACGGATTTTACTACACAGCTTAAGTCTGAATCAGTCCACTTCTGTCCTCAAGAACATGTTTGCCACACAACGGGCACTGGTTACCAGGGTAAGATTAATGTATAAAAAAGACTTAAGACACAAAAAGTAAGGCTTTTATTTGATAGACTAGAATTTAAGTTGTTTCTCTTATCCTGCTTGTTTCTATTACATGATACTATTACATGTTATGATTGTTTTGTTTTGGTTTCTGGACATGCTGTTTGTATGATATGATATCATTACTGTATATGGGGATGTTTTTGCCTTGTGTTATTTTTTCTCTTCCACACTTGCAAACAATTTTGCCTAGTCACAGTTCTGTTTAAGAAATTATATGTTCTTTGAATTCACCCTGTTTCAAATTCGCCTATCTATGAGTAGGGCAACAGGGGTGAAAATAAAACGGAGGCGAAATTTCCCTTTATACAGTATTTGTTCTAGTTTTATCTCACAGACTGGTGTTTGTATTACATGATATGATTTATATTGTTCTAGTTTCTGGACATGCTGTTTGTTGAGGAGACAGAACAATGTGCTGATCTCTGCCTTCGACTCCTCAGACACTGCAGCTCCTTGATCTCACAGACTCGCTCCCAGGCCAGCGCTTCTCTCTACATGTTGATGAGGCAGAACTATGACCTTGACAATGTAAGTCAGTGTTTGTGTCTCCTTTGTCCTGTATATCTGTCACTTCTAAAATAACCTGTACAAAGTTACAAAAAGTGACTCACGATCTCTTTTTATAGAAACAGTTCAAATATATTTTTTCTATTATCAAGGAATTACACAGATGAAAGGCATTTATACAAATATTTAGCTGCCCAATATTGCTTCAGTTTGCATTTTAAAATTTTGCATCAGTATCACTCTTAGTCTAGCCTTCATTAGATAGTCAAAATTACAAATGTTTGTTATTAGATATGTAACTGAAAACTTATTTGTAAACTTATAGAACTTTGCTAGAGTGAAGATGCAGGTGACAATGTCACTGAGTAAACTGGTTGGACAAAATCAGAACTTCAGTGAGGAATCCCTCCGTCGATCTCTGAAAACAATTCTGACCTACGCTGAGGAAGATGCAGATCTGGCAGAGACACCCTTCACTGAACAGGTGAGATATCTCTATGTGTTAGTGAGATATCTGAATGTGTTAGTAAGATATCTCAATGTGTTAGTGAAATATCTCAATGTGTTAGCGAGATATCTCGATGTGTTAGTAAGATATCTCAATGTGTTAGTGAAATATCTCAATGTGTTAGTGAGATATCTTTATGTGATAGTGAGATATCTTTTGTTAGTATCTTTGTCTTAGTAAGCTATCTTACTGTGTTAGATATCTCAGTGCATTAAAAATCTTATTTAACAGGTGAGGTATTTTAATATGTTGGATGTCTGATTTAACATTTATATGTGATATCTAACCTGATTAGGGATCTGAATTAGAAGACGAGAGATCTCAAAGGGTTCGAGATCTTGATTAAACACTTGAGATGTTGATTAACACTTGAGATCTTGATTAACGGGAAAGAGATCTCCATGGCTTAGAAATCTTAGTTAATGGGAAAACAATGTGAATTATCAAGTTAGAGATTTGACAGATTTAGTGATGGAAAGAGATTTTATTCAGGAGAATCAGAGTAAATGAGAGCTAGAGGTTATAACTGAAGATTTCCTACAATTTTACTTTCATGACATCAACATTATGAGTTGTAAGAACTCACTGGGCAAATATTGTATTAATGTAATTCCTTTTTCTGGTGGTTCTTCATATAGTTCTTGGGACAGCTCTTCTACATTTTAAGTGATGATAATGTGATATAATCTTCAGGTTAAGGACCTAGTGTTCAATCTCCACATGATTCTGTCCGACACAGTGAAGATGAAGGAATTCCAGGAAGACCCCGAGATGTTGTTAGATCTGATGTACCGCATTGCCAAAGGTTACCAGAACTCGCCCGACCTCCGACTCACCTGGCTTCAGAACATGGCCAGCAAGCACAGCGAGGTAAAAATTACATGTCTACAGTGGTAAAACACAGCTCTCTCTAGTGTAACTTCTTATTTTACAGATTGCTGCTAACAAAATAAAATAGAGTATTAGTGCTGTACTAATGTGTTCCAATGGTTTTCTTCTTAAATAGAGAAACAACCATGCAGAGGCTGCCCATTGTCTGGTTCATGCTGCTGGTCTGATTGCAGAGTATCTTTATATGATAGAAGACAAACCATATCTACCTGTCGGGGCAGTTGACTTCCAGGTGAGTGCATGTGTACCTCTGATAGATAAAAGACAGGGTTTCTTCATTTTTAGCTCACTTTAACATAGTCGAGATGAGCTTATGCTATACCCTTGGTGTTGGCGTCCCGGTTAAAGTTTTAGGAGTAAGTCACTACAGTAAAACTCGGTTATAACGAAGTCACTGGGACCTGTGAAATTACTTCGCTATATCCTTAATTCGTTATATCCGTATAAGGAACTCGTTAAATTTATATAGCTGGGGATCCAAGAAACCTTTGCTATATCTGTGAATTCGCAATATCCGTGTTCGTACTAAACAAGTTTTACTGTATTAGTTCTACCTGGAACACACTTGCATGAATAATGAACATAAGGCTGGGTCTGACCTACATTAACTGGATGAGTGACCAGGTTAGAGTTTGGAGCTGGTCCATTCCCAAGTAACTATAAGTCCTACTTAAACCAGACTTGCATGGAAATTGATCACAGGATGCTCACTAACTATAAAAAATTTGGTGTGAGATTTTCTTTACTTAAAGACAACATTTGTCAAGGTGAACTTCGTAATCTTTGATTACCTATGTTTATATTTTGTGACATCTACATTCATTTGGTATAAATGATTTCTAGTATCCAGATTGGTAGGCATGAATCATATTGCTAGATATAAATCCTCACCTGCCTGACATAGAAATACATGTATAGCCAGCAGTTATTGGTCACATTTAAACCAATGAAAGTATGACATTTCAGTCCAAGTGATGATAATTTTTTTATATATACATGTATATTTCAGAAAATCACAGTGAACGTTCTGGAGGAGAGTGCTGTGTCGGATGATGTTGTGTCCCCTGAGGAGGGAGTGTGCACAGGGAAATACTTCACAGAGAGTGGACTAGTAGGGATTCTAGAAGCTGCAGCTATGGAGTTTAACATGGTAAGATAAACATACCTCAGTGTACAGGGAAATACTTCACAGAGAGTGGAGTGGTAGGGATTCTAGAAGCTGCAGCTATGGAGTTTAACATGATAAGATATACATATCTCAGTGTACAGGGAAATACTTCACAGAGAGTTGACTAATAGGGATTCTGGAAGCTGCAGCTATGGAGTTTAACATAGTAAGATATACGTTTCTCAGTGTAAATGGAAATTCTTCACAGAAAGTGGACAGGTAGGGATTCTAGAAGCTGCAGCTATGGAGTTTAACATGGTAAGATATACATATCTCAGTGTACAGGGAAATACTTCACAGAGAGTGGACTGGTAGGGATTCTAGAAGCCGCAGCTATGGAATTTAACATGGTAAGATATAAATATTTCAGAGAGAGAAATACTTCACAGAGAGTGGACTAGTAGGAATTCAAGAAGCTGCAGCTATGGAATTTAACATGGTAAGATATACATATCTCATTGTACAGGGAAATACTTCACAGAGAGTGGACTGGTAGGGATTCTGGAAGCTGTTGCTATGGAGTTTAATATGGTGAGATATCATATATATATATACAACTATTAGTGTATCTTATGACACAGGCTGACAGGCTCAATCATAGGGTTCCCTGTATAGAGATGTACATGTATATAAAACAATTTATGTCTGTTATGATACAGACCGAAGGCTGAACCATAGAGTCAATATATGTTATAAATGATACCTAGTTTAGGTCTGATGTTATACTGAGTAATGGAGACAATAGAAGAGAGGTACCATTTAAACCCTGGCTGCCTACAATTTTTGTAGACTTCTGGTAACATATACCATATACATGTAAGGTATATTTCAAAGATACATGTCTGTATCTGTGTCTGTTTTCAAGATAGAGTGTGCATATATACTCAATGACACTGATTAGTTTTGTTTATTGTAGGCTGGGATGTATGAACATGTCAATGAAGTCTACAAAATCCTGATTCCAATCCACGAGTCAGCCAGAGACTATAAAAAGCTGAGTGCTATACACAACAAGCTCCATGATGCCTTCAACAACATCACACGACAGGCAAGTCTTTGTTCTTTGTTGTAAAGATTTAATAACACTCAACAGGCAAGTCTCTGTTCTTTGTTGTAAAGATTCAACAACATCACTTGACAGGCAAGTCTCAGTTCTTTATTGTAAAGATTTAACAACACTCAACAGGCAAGTCTCTGTTCTTTGTTGTAAAGATTCATGACCATTCATGCTATGCTGTTCTTATTTAATATGTTTTGCCAAAAGGGGGATGGTGTATGAAGGACATTCTTATAGTTGATGTTTGATTCGGACAGTTTGCAGTACTATTATTCCCCAATTTTAATGATGACAATATTTTCTTTTATATTGATAGGAGGGGAAAAGGATGTTTGGGACATACTTTAGGGTCGGATTTTATGGTCACAAATTTGGAGATTTGGATGGAGATGAATTTGTTTACAAAGAGCCACCAATCACCAAACTGCCAGAGGTTGCTCACAGGCTGGAGGTAAGTGACTACACAAAAAACAAAAGCAGTATGTTATCTGTCTATAAGATACTGTCATCTATTTGTAATATGAAGATTGAACATCTCATGGAATTACATCTTCAGAGGTAATTAATGGTAAAAAACGTGAACAAATGTATAACTAATCCAAGTGTGAGTAAACTGTAAATCATGTTGTAAGAGAAAGTTTTTTATACCCCCCGCAAACGAAGTTTAGGGGGGGTATATTGGAATCAGCATGTCCGTCTGTCTGTAGACGAGACTTTGTCCAGACCATTTCTTGGAAACTGTTGCAAGGATTTGTCTGAAAATTTGTACACTCATTATTCGCCATATGAAGGTATGCACCTGGTATTTTCATCATGATTGGATAATTTTTTTGCATTTTACAGGTGTTTTTTTTTTTTCATTTTATTATGTGGTTTTGTCCGGATCTGTTCCCATAGACTATTGCATAGATTTGTATGAAAATTTGTAAACTTATTATTTACCATATGAAGATGTGCATCTGGTATTTTCAACATAATTTGTTAATTTTTCTGCATTTTACAGGTGTTTTTTTTCATTTTTATTTGACTTGGTCATTCGGGTTCATGTCTAAGGTTTGAGACATATATAGAATCTAGAACATCTGTACAAAAATGTGAACTTCAGCTTAAAACTACTCATTTATAGAACTAAAAAAAAATCACAAAGTATTAAAAAACAGTTTTCACATTACACAGCAGATAGTGTAAATCCATTTGTCCCTTGGGAGTAATGAATGGACATGCACCCAGTTAAAGATTAATTAATGAGTTCAGTGTGGGAAGCTGTTAGGGCATCTCTGCTCAAGCAGTTCTTATCTATATCTCCTGGGAATTGGGCAGAAAGAAATAAAGATCTGATCTCTGTTGTCTAAGTCTCTTAATTGTAATATATGTCTGTCAAAATACATAGTTACTGGAACCAGCCTTTTATTTTTAAAATGAGTTTGATATAAAGGTATTAAGATCAATTTGATGTTGTATAATTAATCATGATTTTTTTTTTTCAACAATCAATTTGCGGGGGGTATTTGTCCCTTTTGGACAGTTCTAGTTTGTTTACTCAATTGTCAGTGGTAGATAAAATCTGGTTTGATTTCTTTACAGAACTTCTACAGTGATAGATTTGGAGAAGGTGTGGTCCACATAGTCAAAGACTCCAACCCTGTGGACAAAGAAAATCTGGACCCAACTAAGGTGAAACTTTGATTGGAGAAATACATTTACTAATAACAGAGAAAACCCCCCCACATTTTTTAACTGTCGGTGTATCTTACCTGGGGAATTGGTTTTGTCAGGCAAAGATTTTTGAAAGGAGTTAGTCTGTTACCTGCGAATATTTCTTACCACAAGTCATTTAAATAAAGAATTTTTCCTCAGTCACAAAAAATTATGGTGACAGGTTAATATCAAACTAACAAAGTTGTCGCAAATAATTGGTTTACAGTATGCATTTTTCAGCTAACACTTCTCACTAAGATGTAAAGCGTGCATAGGGTAAATGTATACACTATGTAGTTTTAAGTTTTATTTGTGTTTGTTCTAGGCCTACATTCAGATAACTTATGTGGAGCCCTATTTTGACCTGTATGAATACAGAACAAAAGTGACCTACTTTGAAAGAAATAACAACATTAGTAAGTCTTAAAATTTATGTACAATCACACTTTTAATTTGAATATTTTGCATTTTTAGTGTAAAGAGGAAAAGTGGGCATCTATACAAAGTTTTATTTATATAATTGTAGAGAGGTTTGTTTTTGCTACACCCTTTACACAAGATGGCCGTGCTCATGGAGAAATTCATGAACAACACAAGAGGAAAACTATTCTGACAACCAGCCACATGTTTCCCTACGTGAAAACGAGGCTTCAGGTCATCAGTCATGATCAGGTACACTCAATTCTATCTCTTCAAACTCTTTCAGCATTCTGAAAAATCATTAAACATGTACATAATCTTTATCTATTGACTCTAGGTCCTATTGACCCCTATTGAGGTGGCAATAGAAGATATACAGAAGAAAACTAAGGAGCTAGCCGTTGCCTTAGCTCAGGAACCACCTGACACCAAAATACTTCAGATGGTACTACAGGGTTGTATAGGAACCACTGTCAATCAGGTTTGTAGCTATACTTAGTAACATGAACCACCCGATGGTAGGGACAACTATCAGTTAGGCAGGTCATAAATAGTAATAAAGGCACCACTTGATACCACCACTTCAGATGTTGTCAAGGCATTTACTCAGACATGATTTTTTTTTGCAATACAATGTATAGATTCATGGTGTACCCTTATTCTCTGTTGCAAATCAAACCCAAATGTTCCTTATAAATATGTCACATCCTCTCTAATTGATCAAATGTTGCGCAAAAAAATTCCCTATTTGTTCACCTACATGTACAAAAATTGTACATGTATACACTTTTATATCTAACTACATGTACATTGTACATGTATATATAGCAGTAGTATTTTAGAAGGTGTACATGTATTTTATTGAATGTCAGGTGGTTGAAATAGTGTAAAGATGTTACTGATAATCAGAAAACTTTTTCACAATTTCATGTACATCCAGTTTATGATCTTACTATCTGAAATTTGAATTTGTGATGTTTTAGGGTCCAGTAGAGGTGGCTGTGGTTTTTCTGAAGGACAGTCCAGAAAATAAAGCACAAGATGTTCGCCACAGAAACAAACTTCGTCTCTCCTTCAAGGATTTCCTCAAAAAGTAAGTTACAGGCATACAGAAATGATTGTTAAAGGTCTTTCTGAATGCGCAGTCACTGAATGAAATGTTGTTAACATTGTTTTCTAGCTGTAATCATTTAGAGTTGTTTCTATTTGTGTAGATGCAGTGATGCCCTTCATAAGAATAAAACCCTGATTTCGAGTGATCAGAAGGAATATCAGCGTGAGTTAGAACGAAACTACCACAATGTTCGAGACAAACTACTGCCCTACATCTCCTCCAACCTGGCCACTCTTAGATCTAAGCACCATAGACGGTCAGTAATAACTTGTCATTATCAATCTATTAAATCTAGATATGGAATATACTCTCAGATCTAAGCACCATAGACGGTCAGTACTAACATGTCATTATCAATCTATTGATAAGACGAGTTATTGACCAATTTTTTTTGTTTTTGGAAATGTATTTAACCTTAATGTATGTGAATGACAAATGCTTTATAGACAATGTTAAACTTTCTGTATTGGATTTATAACTTTGATGTTAATACCATTTTCAGAGGGAACAAAGATTCACCCAGTAAACACAAATCATCTGGATCTTCGAAAACATAGCAACATGGACCATGCGTGATTTAAACGAATCAAAAGAAACTTTCTGTCAAAAATGTTAACCAGATGCTAAATGGAAAGGTGCAAGATTGACTTTTGTAATGAAAAGCAGACTGCAAGACAAATATCTTAAGATTTACTTGAAGGAAATCATGCTTATTATTCTATTATATGAGATCTGAGTCGTGTTTTTTATGTTATAGTTGTTAAATTACTTACTCAAAGAAATCCAAGTTTATGCATGCTTACATTTATTTCTGTGTTAAGGAGACTTTACCTGTGTATTATCTGTCAGCTGGACTTGCTTTTTACATGGAAACCTTCAAAGTTGTAAGATATTATGTGTACATTTTATAAAAGTCTTCTGTATATAATCAAGATATCTGAGTTTTAGGAAAAGTTGTATTTCAGAAAAATCCTGGGGAAACATTTAAATGGTTATGCTCTCATACTGTGATTGTATCTTGATATTTTTTTTTTAACTTACAATTTGGACTCTGTAAAGAACTTGGGTAAGTTTAACCATCATGCCTCCCCTATTTATAGTGCAATATTGTTAAAGATTTCTAAACTTTGTTTGATTGATGCTTTTGTATTAAAAAAACATTCACCATTAAATTATTGTGATGAAAAATTGAAGGTTGTTGATGGAACTGAAACATAGGACTGTTTATATACAATGATGGAACACCAGAAATAAGCCGAAATAGGACTGTATACATACAATGGGTGGATCACCAGAAATAAGCTGAAACATAGGACTTTATATTATACAATGATGGAACACTAATGCATTTCAATTTCAAATGATAGTATTTTTCCTTTGGCTACTTCATAACATTGAAGGCCATTTGCATTTTGATCAGAAAATGATTTTTAACTTTTACAAGAAACAATCCAGTGTTTAAAGCTCTGAGCTAAAAAATAAAAATACGAGATTGAGTGTAGATGAACATGATATTTGTTATTTACGTTCAAATTAAAATTTTCACTGATGTTGAACATGAATAACCCCACGTTTCTATAGCTAAATTGACTTTAAACTGTGTCTGATATTTAAATGCGGAGTCGGTAAATAAATCGGTTATTGATTTAAATTTATAATATCTATGCAACGTGATTGATTTAAATTGTGTAATTTACAGGAAAGTCCTATCTTTAGATAAACTAATAAAACAAATAGAAAGATCCTTTTAATTTTAGTTAGTCTGAACTTATCAAAAATACGCCATATATGACTTAAAGAAATTATTTACAATTACAAGGCATACAGATTTGATTGAATAGTTGAAGATATTTACATAAGATGGAGTTTTCTATGATTCCTTTAAACGAAATTCTAAGTTTACAATAAACTTTACAAACTCATGGACTACAGTTGGTCAGGGCACAGACATAAATAACAATATTGAGGAGGAGTAATATTATGCTGGGTCAATTCATTTGATCTCTTATTTTTTAGTTTTTTTATGACAGATAAGATGTTTATTGCACTTAATGTGCATTTAATTGATTTCACCTCATCCACATCACACATATGAATATTACAAGGGTACTTGTATACAAATTGTATGTTTTTTGGGGGTATCCAATAATTCAACATCTAGATAAGTATTAAAGCAATCATTTCAGAACATCATTTAGCTGGGAATAAGGACAATTATCTTCTTAGGGATTGTTAAGTATAGAGATAAACCTGGATATTTCCCACAACTTGCATGTATTTACATGTGATAAATCCTTAAAATCTTGTATATAGCTATAATGATCCTGGTTATTGTAGCAGTTTGTATTTGATGTGCTCGTAGTTGTTGCAGTGATTGTTGATATGAATAAAGAACGTCCAGAGGGTACCCCGACATCTGTTGACAATTGCCGAGAATCTCCCATGATATTTCTCTCAATGGCTCAGTCACATTATCCGGAGAAAAGTTAATAAGAAGTTGTAGTTCAAAAAAGAGCAATCATTGCATTCTCTGCGTTTGTTTGTTTGTAACACAAGAACTCTAGCATGTGTAACATTACCAAGGGAGGAATGAAGAGAAGAGGTTGTAGATCGTGTTGAACACACTGTTCTAATCTCACTTCATTTAAATAACATACATTCTTCAAAAGTTTAATATCCTGTGTCACAACTGGTCTCATTTGTTTAGGCAGGTTCTTAGGATGTATGCGTACATTTCTATTATAGATGAAGTATTCATGTTCAAACCTTCTCCTTGTCATCTTTAGAACAGATAAAGCTTTCATGTGCCTAGAAGTTTTGTAATAATACATTGCAATGTATAATAAATCGGAATCAAAACCAAACTTGACTGCCAACTTCAGCAGCTGAAGGGAAATTTTGTCAGCGATGTACTTAACTCTGTTCACTTTGATGCTCGTGTACATGTTTAACATAAAAGCGGTGCACTTTAGTACGAAGACAGTTCGTTTCTGTAACATAGATACATGATTCTGAGTCAAAGGTAAATGGATGAACTGTTCAACTATCTTTAAGAGATGCATACACGAGCTGAAGCATTTGTAAAGGGGAAAAATATTTGTATATAGAATGTATAAATATTACGTAATAGACGCTATCCGTAAATCGGCAGCTACCCGGTAGCTGCCATGTATTAGCAGCTCCAGCGGAGCTGCCCCTAAAATGTATATATAGGGCGTGCACACATGAGTGAGTGACAGAGTTAGTTACGGAGTTACAGAGTTGTGAGTTAGATATTATGTTGTACTTGTGATTAATAGAAACATGTAATAAACTTGTAAACTGATTACTGGAATTTTTACTTTACGCTACCAAAGGAGGAAAAACATAATTATAAATTCATATGGGATATTGAGGATTTTAATAAAGTCTAAAGAGGATTTGAAATAGCAAAAAGGACCGCACGCTCGGTCCCGCTACACATTGAATTGGATATGCATCATTTTGATAAATCTCCAACAACAGCTCTAACAAAACGTCAAACTCAGTCGCCAATAAAAGTTCATCTGTAGAAACAGTGAGTCTCGGATTATCAAGTACAGGTGTGAGAAGTGGACTGATGGAGGGGCTGTGTAGGAGGGATTTCAAACCAACTTGTACAATGAGTACAGCGTCTTGAATAAGGTCCTTTGTGAATTGCCATAAATTTCAGTTAGAAACATGTTGTTTTCTGGGATGAAAAAGTTTGGACATATCCCCTGGTACACCCATTTTAGAATAAGTTTAAAACAAACCCAAAAACCGTCCAGAAGACTTTGTGGACTCCAGTAGGGTATTATGCTTTGTAGAAGTACCCACAAAACTGCTGTCTTCATGTGATAGGAACACAGCAATTCTACCTCATCACCCAACCTGGGGGAAAATAACTTCCTTTAGGAAAAATTTTAATAATCCATACATTAGGAACTGGCAATGATTCATTGTGTACACAAGTTTTAACTCAGCGAAACGGAAAGAAATTCTCCATTCATTGTTTTCATGATTTCCTAGTTTGTGTCCTATTGCTGCAAAGTGGCAACCATTTTTGACAATTTCATCTACAACACGAGGATTGGGCCACGAGTGACATCTTTCTATCCAGGAAGCGGCGGATGGAGGCCAAAAGTCGCTGGCAAATCAAGATGCATAATCGTATTCTACCTTACCAACTTTAACTCCACTGCTACATGGCCCATGTTCAAAAGAACCAGGATATTGCATGTTTATTTTTCTGTACACAGAACTAGATATATAGAACTTGTCTTTTGTTATTTATTCTGAAGATAGGACGTGTGATTAACTGTAATATATAGAACTTGTCTTTTATTATTTATTCTGAAGATAGGACGTGTGATTAACTGTAATATATAGAACTTGTCTTTTATTATTTATTCTGAAGATAGGACGTGTGATTAACTGTAATATATAGAACTTGTCTTTTATTATTTATTCTGAAGATAGGACGTATGATTAACTGTAATGTATAGAAATTGTCTTTTATTCTGACACAGGGTGATTGTTCGTGATTTCTGAAGATTGGACGTGTGATTAACTGTAATAAAGTATACCCTGGTGGACTACCTGAACTGTCAGCAAGAATCAGGTATTGTCCCCTTTCACAGATAACTATTTACATTTACATTTCTAACTATTTTTTTTTGGTAGCTCTTTGTAATGCATTGACTTGTGCACTTGATATCGAATTTCTTTTGATAACTTTTTTTTCTGACGTGGCAGATGCATACAAATGAAGGAGACGTGTGCTGAAGCAAAATGCATTGAACCGTGAACAAAGCTGAAGCTTATATAGCGGTTGGAAAAGGACAGTCTTGAGAGGACTTATATGGTGGATAAGAAAACTCTCTTCCTTTTACGAATCGTATTCAGCTTTAATGAGAATTTGAAACGTGGGATCATCAATGCCATGGCATACCCAACTAGACAGTGATTCCTTGAGTCACTTGTTGCTAGGGTGAGGGGAAAATATCAATGTGGGTTCAACATTTTTCATGTGTTTCACAGATACATTTTGTTCTTATATATCTTTCGACCAATCACATTAAGCCTTTCAGTGAGAAACAACCCGGAACATGAGCATCGAGGTGTCAAGTCTTCCTATCTATTTACGTTTTATGGCAACTTACGAAAGCCCAGTTTGATTGGTGCTTCTCAATGAGAGAATTTAAGCAAGCCTGTAAAATATAGAATGAAGTTTGTCATTGGTCCTACGACAACGTGTGGACTTGGACCCTTGGCCTTGTAACTATAACTTATTTTGAACGAATATCTTCATTTGGGCCTTGTGATCAATATCTTGCATCTATAGCAATTCTTCCAAACATCTACAAAAACTTCCAAGAAAGGAGTCAGAAATCGGTGGAAACATTATTTTCTATCTGCTCTGTATGGAGTTTTGATATTTTTGAGTAAATGTCAACTTTTGACAAATGAAATCATGGTGCAGAGCGATATATACTGAAACGTTGACATGATAACCCCAATGGTGCTTTCTAGATCATAGTGGCTCCTTATCTAGCTCTATTGAATAGCTGCTAGATGTCAGATTTTGGTTAGAAATATATCAGTTTTCATTCATTTTCGGAAGAAAGTTTGCCAAGCTCAAGTGAATATATATGAGCAAATATTTCATTAAGATTGAGAAGCCCTCCACCCAGTTTAGTAACAATCTCATTTGATGCGAAACAGTTACGAAAATGGTGATTCAGTACTATAGTATAAGATATTAATTGTTACTAGCCTTTCCTATATCATATACGTATAGCTTCTAACTAGCATATCGCTAAAGGCCGCATGTCTTACGTACAACTAGCTACCACGATATTGAGGCAAAAAAAAATAAACACATAGTTTTAAAGTTTCAACTGTAGAATGTCATTTTAATTATCAATCAGCGTGACACGGCTATTGGTTGAAGATCACCATCGCTAGCACACATACCATTGTGAACTTTAGTGACTTGTGTTTTGTGCCTGGAATATACATGTACAAAACAGCAATAAATCAAACATATATTTGTTACAAAACATTTTTAAAATAGGTAGTAATTAGTAAACAGATTTATCGAATCAAGGAAGAAATACTTTTGCAATAAATTATTTGTTTTGATATCTTAATATAAAGGGATAGGATCATAGGCACTTAAGAAAGCCAGTTTACCTCGAGAAAACTTGTCTGTCAAAAACAGTAATCACTATTTCATTAGTCTTAACCTCCAAGAACATTGGAGTTGGTGACCCCAAAAAGTATTTTGAGCTTGTCTTATCTATACATTACCTTGTCTACCTGCAGTTACCTTGTCTAAGTACAGTTACCTTGTCTGCCTACAGTTACCTTGTCTACCAACAGTTATCTTGTCTTAGTACAGTTACCTTGTCTACCTACAGTTACCTTGTCTACCTACATTACCTTGTCTACCTACATTACCTTGTTTCCTACAGTTACCTTTTTTACTTACATTACCTTGTCTACCTACAGTTACCTTGTCTACCTACAGTTACCTTGTCTATCTACAGTTACCTTGACTACCTACAGTTACCTTGTCTAACTAGATTACCTTGTCTACCTACATTACCTTGTTTACCTAGATTACCTTATCTACCTACAGTTACCTTGTCTACCCACATTACCTTGTCTACCTACATTAACCTTGTCTATCTTAATTACCTTGTCTACCTACAGTTACCTTGTCTAACTAGATTACCTTGTCTACCTAGATTACCCTGTCTACCTACTTTATCATGTCTTCCTACAGTACCTTGTCTACCTACAGTTACCTTTTTTCTAGCTACATTAACATGTCTACCAACAGTCACCTTGACTACCTACAGTCACCTTGTCTACCAGCAGTAACCTTGTCTACATAAATTACCTTGTCTACCCACAGTATCTTGTCTACCTACAGTTACCTTATCTACCAACAGTTACCTTGTCTACCAACAGTTACCATGTCTACCTACATTACCTTGTCCACCTACAGTTACCTTGTCTACCTACATTACCTTGTCTACCTACATTAACTTGTCGACCTACAGTTACCTTGTCTACCTACAGTTACCTTGTCTACCTACATTAACCTTGTCTACCTAGATTACCTTGTCTACCTACAGTTACAGTAAGATTAGCTCATCTCGTCTTCGTCGAAGTGAAAAAAAAATCAAAATTTGTTCAAAACATGACACAGTTGGCACCTCTTTGCAATTGGTAAAAATTAAACTTTAATACTAGTATATGGTAAAAAAATCTTTTTGAGTTATTTTTCCAAGCTTAACAAGGTTGCGTTTTGTCACAATATGTAGATTTATTATGTACTTTGTATTCAAATCTGGTAAAGTCGTAGTTTAATTTTGGCTAGGTTTGAACTAAATTATAGAAATTAAAAAAAATCTCTTTAGAATTTTCAAAACCTTATTTAAGAATGTTTATTGAAAGCAGATGGTATAAATCTTTAAAAGTTTCCATTTTTTCGACCAACACGAACAAGAAATCGCTCTACTCAAAAAATTAATTGCTATTTCAAAAATAACGATATATATTTTTTTATTTAACAATAATCCATATCTCTTTTTAGCTTACCTGAGCTATCAGCTCAAAATAGCTCTTCTGATCATTGTTCACATTTTGTCTGTCTACCTGTCTCTCTTTATATGTATATAAATATAAGATAAGTTTAAATTATTTAAAACGTCTGAAGAAAACAATGAAAGCGCTTACGTTTTAACAAGAAGTGTTGCCTTTTTATTTTACTTTTATATATATATATATATATATATATATATATATATATATATATATATATATATATATATATATATATATATATATATATATATATATATATATATATATATATCTATCTATCTATCTATCTATCTATCTATCTGGGGGGGGTATGTGTGTGAGGGTGTGTGTTACACGTAATACGTATATATGATCATAAAAAGTTACATACAGGCAGTTGGTTGCATGTAGTTCACACTCGTTACTGTAGGTGTGGCCGTCCGAGCCACACAATGGAAGGTAATTCATAGGGCAGAAAAGCTGGCAACTGACGGCGCGTTCTACATTAAAACAGTCTGAAAGAGAAAAATAGCCATAGTTCGTAGGACAAAACAGCGGGCACCTCACGGCGCGTTCCACATTAAAAGTCTTAAAGAGGAAAACTAGGTACAGTTTTTAGAACAGAACAGCCTGCAACTAACTACGCGCCTGAACGGCTGAGGAAGCTAGCTCTTAATCTCCCTTTTGATGTAAGTTGAAAACATTATTTGCATGTATTTTCCCAGTTTAAGCAGCAGTGCATAAGCGTTTTGGAGACACTCCTATATCCCGCCACTCCCAGTCGACCAAAACTGTCAAATATAGATCTGCATCTTGAGGGAAGGTGAGGGAGGGGAGGAGATGGTGCCACACATTTAGACACACTTTTTAATTATTTTTCTCCCCCGGCCCCCTTTTATTTTACATGTTTAAAAAACTTTCTATTCATTAGAAAGTTTTCGTTAATGAGATCTTGTAGTGTTTTCAAGTTAACGTTATAAAGGAGTTTATTTGGTTTAACGAACTGCTTTAGGGAAGCAATATATTGGATACAAGGTTCACAAACCAAGGTCATAGATCGAAACTGTGTATTCGGTATTCCTGAAAATATGTACTATAAAATCATGAGCTGAAAAATAAATCTGTTGTGTCAAAAGTCATTTTAACAGAATTAATTTCAGTAATTTCAGTAAGGTTTTCTGTCCCTAATTACATATGAACTGAAATAAAATTAATATATAACTTACTTGCAAATGCAAATAGAGTGACGAAAAAGATTAGAAACTTCATTCTTGACGATGAGTGCGTGTATAGTGAATCAGTATTTTTTTTCTAAATGATCGACTTTGTCTACATAACCATAATGTTTCTTTCGCACGCTTATCAGTACAGCCAAGAACTATTCACAATGTCACATTGAACAACACTTTGGTCGTTTGACCTTGTACTAGACTGACAATCTTTTTTCAACAGATCCGAGGGATTGTTGAATTCAGGCACGTAGTATTGGGGGGGGGGGGATGGGGGCACAGGTTGCCCCAATATTTTTTGTACTATTAATTTAATTTGAAACTGTTCATTAAAAGTCCCCCCACCCTTCCCCCAACACACACACGACATGCACAAACCCTCACACACACACACTTTTTATCGCATTATCATGTAAATTTTGAATTTATTAGGGGGAGGTAAATGCAAAATTTACATGTTGTACCTTCCCCTAGTAAATTCAAAATTTACAACATGATAGCATCATATAGTGAAATTCTCCCATAGTAATATATTTTGATTTTTTTCTTGTCGAAAAAGTTGGACCCCCCCCTCCCCGTATTAGGATTTTCGAGTAAGTCTAATACGTACATTAGTTTCTTCGTTTGTTAGGTAATTGACTGTTCTTTACATATTGTTCCATTACGTAGACCAGAAATATTGCGCTTCCCGATCACACCCTTTTAAGGAATACTTATTTTTTTTCCTTTAAATTGATTTTGAAGGCGAGGGCCTTAAAGGGTGGATGGATGAGGATTTCCATCTGTGTAGATGTGTGTGTGTGTGGTTTTTTTTTTTTTTTGTTTTGTTTTGTTTTTTTTGTATTTTTTTGGTGTTGATTTGAAATATTTGTTGTCCTCTCAGTAAGTAGAATTTCCTAGTTGTTTTATTTGTCCCGTAAATAAACTTTTCCGATTTCAAAAGGGAAAGGATTGGCCCGCCTTTAACCCCAAGTTTATCAAATACAACAGTTCACCAAGCCGTCAAATGTTTGTTATCTACTGAATTATACCATTTCAATGTAAAAGGAAGCTATTGTTTCTTGATAGAAAACTTCACATTAGGTATGATAAAGGTGGCAAGGAGAACTTGACCCGCAATTTACACACTTTGTACCTCTCAAAATCACTCTCTTCATAACCTTTAATACTGCATTTTATCATATAATTCGTTTCAACGAAATCACGTGTAGCACATTACTGAGAACACATTTCAAAATAGATATACCCAAAGTTACAACTTCAGCACGAAAGATAAAAGAAACGCCACCCAGTGAGAGAGAATTCGAACTGACACGTCTTAAATGTTCAAGGAAGGTAGGATTTGCTAATTATTATTTATATTAATCATTATTGTACTTTACGATACAAAAAAGTACATCAGACTCATAGGAACTCGAGGGGGGGGGGTCATAATGTTGGATGACCTTTTCTTTACTTGTACTTTTATTTTTTATTTTATTTTTTTTTTTTGCTTGTCAAGAGTTTTCTAGGTTGGAAATTTTTTATTGACCGGGATAGACTCCCCCTGAAAAAAATTCCTGGATCCGCGCCTGAAATCTGACACATGTTCATGTATCTTAGATAAACTTACTTAATAATTCCAGTGACGGATCCAGAAATCTTGAAAAGGGGGGGACCAGTTTGGGGTCTGGGTAGGAGCCCAAGGCCACACCCAAAAAAATTGATTTATTAAATCTTATGTATATTTTGGACACAAAAGGGCGCCCTGGGCCCCCTCTAAATCCGCCAGTGAATTCAGTGGCCATCTATGCGTATCCTTGAGTACTATAAAATTCCCGTGACATATTAAGAGCGCAATGTAGTTTTTAACTTTGTTTACTTATTCCCTGTATAATTGAAGAATTACAATATTTGAAGGACCTTTATGTGACTTGTTGATGATTTTTAGATGCCGTACGCCTCTTGTAAACAATGTTTGACGAAATACCACCTAAAAATGTTTGACAATTTTTCCTCGAAGAACACAAGGATTTTCATCATTTGATATACTGGTTTATTCAATGTATGTTGTTTTTTTTGCTCAAGAACATCTGATGGTATTATGGTTGTAAAGACCCAATTTTTTTTTTTACCGTACGGTTACCTGAAGAATAGGAGTGGTCTAATCAGTATTGATGTTATTTTATTGGATGGTCCTAAGCTCTCTAGAGGCCAATAATCAGTATACATATTGAAATACACAGCAAGTCAGTCCATTGTCATCAGAAATTAGAATCAACACTATACGTACACATGTGTTTGATTTTGAGTAAAATAAAATTATTCTAACTTTTATGTTTTCAATTCAATATTTTTATGGACTTCATTACTTGTAAGAAATCAATTACATTAAAAAAACAGAACAAAACAAAACAAAAAAAAAAAAAACAAACAAAAAAAAAACAAACAAAAAACCCGAGGCCTACTACAAATATCACAAGTATACTGTTGATAAATTTAATTAGAAAGTATACACTATGAAAATATCTTTATTTATTGTGAGGACGTTAGCCATCAGGAAATTAGAAATTTTTATTCAAATAAATTCCTAATTTTCTGATGTTTCCAGCTCTAGGCACGTGGAGGCCTCCTCACTGTAGAACCCCCTTTTTGTTTTTTTTAAATCTACATCACTTAAAACGGCAGTCACTAAAACGTGTTCACTTTCTGTCACTCAGCTGCTTCAGAAAACGGTGCCATATCTAGTCACAGTAATTGAATGTACGACGTGGTCCTAAAATCTTCTTCATCTTCCCGCTAGCTAGGATACTGGTAGGTACCTGTAGAGTGAATATCTTGAAGTAGAAATATGTCTATAAGACATGAATGCCCCGCCCAGGGACCATAAATAATGCGACTTGAAAAGAAATGCATCTTGCTTAATTATTCAAGATTAGGGTAAATGAGGAATAGTAAGGTCAAGGTCACAGGGAAAATTAACGTCAGAAAATTATGACACAGCTGAATAGATGTCACAATTTGTATTAGTGAATGAAGTTTGATGAAAATACCTTGAATAGTTTCTTTGAAACTGAGATTTAAACATAGCAAATAGTAAAATTAAGGTCATAGAGAAGGTCAAGGTAAAAAAATGGACACAGTTGATAAGTTCTCACCAATATATATCAGTATATGTGCTTATATAGAAATATCTTGTATAGTTTCTTTGAAATTAAGCTAACATAATTATAAGAATAGTAAAATCAAGGTCGTAAAAAAGGTCAAGGTCCAGAAATGTTGATACAGTTGAATTGGACTCACCAATGTGTATCTGCATATGAAGTTGGATGAATGTATCTTGAATAGTTTCTTTGAAACTGAGCTAAATGCAAATTTAAAAAAAAGTGGGGTCAAGGTCAAAGGTAAGGTCAAGGTCCAAAAATGTTTATGCAGTTGAATAGCTCTCATGAATATGTATCAGCTCATAAGGTTTAATATCTTGAACAGTTTCTTTAAAACTGAGCTAAACGCAAAGTGTGACGGACAGACAGACGGAAGGATGGAAGTTAGACTTGATATGACCGGCCATATTCATGGTGGGGCATAAAAACGATGTACTAGTATTCGGAATTTCAAAGAATTGACACATAGACAAGAACAATTTCCTGGAAACATTAAAAAATGAGTGTTCATTAGTTATGTAATTTTTTTTTTCAAAATTGCATTTTGAACTTTTAAATTTATTATTTTCAACTTTAAAATTAACCTTCAAAGTTGGCTAAAACAGTATTTTCTCCGTTGATGCACCTATTATTGCATGACATTTGGCCAAGAAGTTCTTCAGGGCGTGCCTGTTCCGAAATAAATATATGATATTTTGATAGATTGTGATAGATTGTAAGGAATAATTTAAAATAGGATTTTTTAGGGGCATCTCTGCCCTACGGTCAAAATTCACAAAAGCTACCAAAAAAAAAAAAAAAAAAAAAAAAAAAAAAAAAAAAAAAAAAAAAAAAGATGTGTTTGTGAAACACTGATGCCCCCGTATGGCAACTAATAGCAAAGGTTAAACTTTCTCAAATGCAAATCAAATATGTTGGTACCCAAAGTAAGGTCTTGTCTCTCTAGGAATATACCTGTGAAATATGAAAGCCCTAGCAGAAACCATTGAATAGATATGGAAAAGGTTAAAGTTTTTCAAAAGTAAGTCAAACATCAAGGTCAAGGTCAAATGGTCAAAATTAATAGTGCCCAAGGAAAGGCCTTCTCACAAGAAATATACAGGTGAAATATGAAAGCCGAAGCACCAATCGTTCAAAAGTTATGACCAAGGTTAAAGTTTTTCAAAAGTAGATCAAACTCCAAGGTCAAGGTCAATGGATTATAATTGTTGGTATCCAAAGGAGAGTCTTGTCACAAGAATTACATATGTGAAGTATGAAAGCCCTAGCACCAATCGTTCAAAAGTTATGGCCAAGGTTAAAGTTTTCAAAATTTAAGTCAAACTTCAAGGTCAAGGTTAAAGGGTCAAAGTTGTAGGTATCCAAAAGAAGGTCTTGTCAAAAGGATTACATATGTGAAGTTTGAAAGCCCTAGCACCAGCTGTTAAAAAGTTATGACCAAGGTTAAAGTTTTTCAAAAGTAGGTCAAACTATAAGGTCAAGGTCAAAGGGTTAAAGTTGTTGATATCCAAAGGAAGGTCTTGTCCCAAGGATTACATATGTGAAGTATGAAAGCCCTAGCACCAATTGTTCAAAAGTTATGGCCATGGTTAAAGTTGGGTAAAATTTTGCAAAACTTGGTCAAACTCCAAGGTCAAGGTCAAAAGGTCAAATATGGTGGTACCCAAAGAAAGGTCTTGTCACAAGAAATACACATGTGAAATATGAAAGCCATAGCTCAAACCAATCAAAAGTTATGGGCAATGTTAAAGTTTTTGCGGACAAACAGACAAACAGCTAGACAGACAGACGGACGGACAGGGCAAAAAATATATACCCCCGAATCTTCAATACGGGGGCATAAAAAAGGAGGTCTGTTTTTGACAACCAATGGGTTTATTTATTCCACCTATTCCACCAACCCGGGTTCGATTCTGGTTCGC